AGTAAATTCGAAGCACTGACCGTCCCAGATATTCTCCTTATATGTTCAGCGGCCGATTGTAGAAAAGCAATCTCGTTATGCGCTGTATCATCCATTCGCAGAGGCTGTGGCTTCCATAATCTGCGATCTCCCGACGAAGCTCCTATCTGCCGTATGTTTCAATATACCCCTGTACTTCATGGCCCAGTTGAGGCAAGAGGCCGGTTCATTTTTCATATTCCTCCTATTTGGGTTCACGTGTACGTTCACAATGTCCATGATTCTCAGGACTATTGCACAGACGACTCGCACCGTACAGCAAGCCGTGACACCCGCTGCTATCTTCATACTAGGTCTAGTTATATATACTGGGTTTATTCTCCCTACGAGGAGCATGCAGGGTTGGCTTCGCTGGATTAATTATCTAGATCCAATCGCGTATGCTTATGAAAGCCTCGTTGCGAACGAGTTTTCAAACCGGCAATTTCCTTGCGCCCAGTTTGTGCCAATGGGACCGTCCTATGCGAACGCTACTCCTTTAGAGAAGGCGTGTTCCGTCGCAGGCGCCTTGCCCGGCCAGGACTTTGTTAGCGGTGATATGTTTATCAACGGGAATTTCGGGTTCTATCAGTCCCATGTCTGGCGGTATGTCTAGTAGAAACATATGTGTCGACGCTTATTACTAAATTCATTGGCAGAAACTTCGGTATCCTCGTTGGATACATCGTATTCTTTGGGATCGTATACATGCTTGCGGCAGAATATCTTTCACTTGACCGATCTAAGGGTGAAGTCCTGGTCTTCCGTCGGAACCATGCTGCTTTGGATACCAAGGGGCCACAAGACGAAGAATCCGGAACTCTGGGCATTCCACCATCTAAGAGGTTATATCCTTTGCCAAAACCCGAGAAGGAGCAGGGAGGCAAAGATCCTACCGATGCTTCCACCGTACATAATTCAGCCACACACAGCCAGAAAGTTTTTCACTGGGTCGACGTATGCTACGACATTACAATTAAGGGCCAATCTAGACGGATCCTGAACCATGTTGACGGATGGATTAAGCCCGGGACCTTAACAGCTTTAATGGCATGATGCATCTTGTAACGTCTGGAGCAGGAATAGTGGCTGACGGGTATATAGGGCGCGACCGGAGCAGGGAAGACCACGCTTCTCGACGTATTAGCCGACCGCGTGACAATGGGCATAGTCAGCGGTGATATTCTCGTCAACGGAATTCCTCGCGGGAACGCTTTTCAAAGACAGACCGGCTACGTCCAACAACAGGACATCCACCTCGAGACGGCAACTATTAGAGAAGCCTTACGGTTTAGTGCGGCACTTCGAAAGCCGTTTAATGTCTCAACAGAAGAGAAGTATGCCTATGTGGAAGACGTCATCAAACTCTTGGATATGGAAGCATACGCCGATGCAATAATCGGTGTGCCTGGCGAAGGTAAATCTAGAGACATAGTCCAAGAGATTGAGTCTGCTAATTAGGTGCATAGGTTTGAATGTTGAGCAGCGCAAGCGTCTGACTATAGGAGTTGAGCTTGCTGCGAAGCCAGATCTGCTCATTTTCTTCGATGAGCCCACGTCTGGGCTCGACAGTCAAACGGCGTGGTCAATCACAAGTCTCCTAAGAAAATTGTCTGATAATGGTCAGGCAATCCTGTGTACCATTCACCAACCTTCTGCCATGTTATTCCAGCAATTCGATCGGCTATTGTTGTTGAGCTTCGGAGGGAAGACTGTATACTTTGGAGATATCGGCCACAACTCAACGACGCTCACGGGGTACTTTGAATGTCACGGGGCTACTCCTTGTGGCGTCGATGAAAACCCTGCGGAATGGATGCTGCGAGTTATTGGGGCTGCTCCTGGAGCTCATGCTGAACAAAATTGGCACGAGGTCTGGCGTAGTAGTAAGGAGTATGAAGCCGCACGAAAAGAGCTTAGAGTCATGGAACTGGGGCCACCAGGCATCGATAATGCTCGCGTAGAGGAAGACAATGACAAGATGTCCACGGCATTCTACGCAACCCCCTTCCATTACCAATTCCTGTTGTGTGCCAAGAGAGTGTTCGAACAATACTGGCGCACCCCTTCGTATATATACGCCAAGTTGATACTCTGTGGTGGCACATCCCTCTTCATCGGACTGTCCTTCTTCAGCTCCGAGTTGACACTGTCTGGGCTTCAGAACCAGATGTTCGCGATATTCATGCTACTAGTCACCTTCGCGTTCCTCGTTTATCAGACCATGCCTCAGTTTATCCTCCAACGGCAGCAGTACGAAGCACGGGAACGCTCATCCCGAGCGTACTCGTGGTATACCTTTTTTCTCGCCAATATGATCGTCGAGTTGCCTTGGAATACGCTAGCATCGCTCCTGATTTTTGTCCCGTTCTACTACCTTGTTGGGATGAACGAAAACGCCATTCCGACGGATTCTGTTACCGAGCGCGGTGGGCTTATGTTTTTTCTCCTCTGGACAGTCTTAGTCTTTGAGTCTACATTCGCGGACATGGTGATCGCTGGCGTAGAAACGGCCGAGGTTGGGGCCGTCATCGGCCTTCTTTTGTTCGCTATGTCTTTGATATTTTCGGGGTAAGTATATTTCTCAATGTTGAGTATTCTACTGCTAACTCCGTCGATAGTGTAATGGTCCCTCGGAGCTCTCTACCTGGGTTCTGGATCTTCATGTACCGGGTCTCACCATTTACATATATCATCAGTGCTATGCTCGCCGTTGGCGTTGCAAATCACGAAGTCCGCTGTAGCACTCTTGAACTTTTGCACTTCCAACCTCCCAAGGGAGAGACTTGTGGCCAGTACATTGACCCGTATAACCAGGTGGCCTTCGGCGCTGTATACAACCCAGAAGCTACCTCAGACTGCAATTTCTGCTCTCTAGCGAATACCGATACTTTTCTTGCATCTGTCGACTCGTTCTACGTCGATAGGTGGCGCAATCTTGGCCTGATCTGGGTTTACATCGTTTTCAACGTTGCTGCCGCCTTGCTCCTCTACTGGCTTGCCCGAGTCCCTAAAAAAATAAATCGGAAGCTTCTTCGGGAACTTAAGCACCATATTATGCCAAAGCGTTGATTCCGCGCGGCCCCTCAAGACTCATGAGACCGCCGGCACGTTTTAGCGCTGGTTCTTATTACCTGAAACTGACGTTGTCGCATTTACTTTCCCCGTATTTTGGTCCCTTTTCATATATATTTCCTCCCGTCAAAATGGGGGTTTGTGAAGTGCGAATAGAATTCTTGGTGTTGGGATAATCACTACCCGAATAATACCTTCCTTTTTTATACGTATATGTAGAAGACATGCTGGCAGGCTGGGGGAAAAAGATGGATAAGAAAACTATGGGGTTACCAGGTTACCACAGAAAACAGAGAACGCGGCATGAAGCCAAGCTTAAAGCGGTAAGGAGGGATCTTCAGGTACGTGGCACGAGCCAAGGGAACTAGCCGCTTTGAGTGGGGATTTGTACGCAATGATCTCGGCTCGGCTGGTGCGCTGGCTCGAGCTCGAAATTTGTCCGAATTATTCGTATTGAAAATAAAGAAGCAAGCAAAGACGTGGAGGACTTTCGGTAATGCTTAGTTAGAATTGATATTTGTCCGTTGGTAATTTCGATTCATTTGACTTCCCTAGCAGCCTAGCCGGATACCAACGGAGCCGGTAAACATGTGAGAGATTATATCCAATGACCGGGTTCGAAGAGAGGTTGCAATAAATAGGATAGCCAAATATAGCCGTAGGTTAATAAGGGGGCTCTCCAGCATACAGTCGTCACTCGGTTCTTCCGGTTCTTTCGGTCAAGCACCTCATAGTGTAATTCGTAAAGGGTTCCCATACTACCCTACTTTAGATATCATTCGCGTTTGATATTATAAGTTCAATATACTCGGATACGCCGTGACGCATGGAGGGCTGCAATGTTGCTGGCCGGCTATTCTGTACTGCGTAAGGATCCGAGAAACTTCATACAATTACTACGTTGTTGATTAAATCCTCCTGAGATACGTTAGCTGGTTAGTAACTTGGTAGGGTAGCTGATTTAGCTCGATCTGCGATGCGAAGATCGATTGCGATTTCACCAAGACTTTTCCTTTTCTTTTTTGTTTGTTTGCGAGCCGTTTTAAGAGGCTAAGACGCGGCTAAGACGGTTAAGACCCTGTAAAGGAGAGTTTTGTAACCTGATAAGGGAATTTGGAAGGTAAGCGCGTTATGGAAAGTTAGAGCTCGTCAGCTCGTTTCTACCCCTAACCTGGTAAGTCTAGCTCTAGAGCACCTGTTCGCAGTTTGGTAGCCACTTGTAGCTAGGTAGACCCCACTTAGAAGGCCTTGTTAGACCCTAGACTGCCCGCTTCAGTGAATTCCACCGAATGGCAATTGGCAATAGATGGCATGTTACTTAGTGCCTCCCGCAAGTACCCTCGTGTACTACACAGCCTAGGCCGATGTCAGTTAAGGTTAGGACCTTTTTCTTTTTGGTTACTCTCAAGAGGTATGTAACCTAGAAATCTTTGTCGATCAACTTCCTCTTCCTCAACTCGTCTTGTCTCTTTAGCAGGTTCTCCCCTACTACTTGGGTTAATAAGATGCTTTATTTCACAGCCCTTTTCCTCCTTTAGCGACGACATCTCTTAGGATATTTATCTACTAATCCCTTTTCCTCTGTGCACCTCGAGATCTTTTCAATCTTTTCAATCGTTACTCGACCTCCGTCTCTGCCTCGGTTTCTCACCTCAGATATCTCTCGCATCTCTCGCACCTTTCTTTTTCAATCGTTAACCCGGGACACCAATTAATTAGTACATCGCCATCGCCCCCCGCGGTGTGAGGAATTGTAGTGATAATTCTTAATTCGCCGAACCTCTTTGTTTCGCCCTAGATATCTAACAATGCCAAGTCCTCGTAATCCCCTTTGACTCGGCTCGAACACTCCTTGATACCCCGCGGCGTAACATCTCGCTGACAGCCAAATCCTATTCTCGACACATCTAATCGCCACGAATTCTCCGAGTCGTAACTATTCCAATTAATATTTCGGATCCCTGCAGTACTCTTGTCTTATCTTCTGTCGTCCATTGGTATCATTCTCGGTCATACCGACTTTCCGTAGGCGATATTTGGTTGCACAAGACCTGTCAAGTGTCGGGGTCGAATCTGCAGGGTTTACTATATTTTCTAGCCCTTAGCCCCAGGAGTTGATTAACAGGTAGTCGTGCTACTGGACAGCCTGGTCAAGATTCGTGGAGAGGGGAGGGGGCATGGTTCTCGATCTACAAAATGGCCCTCCCTTTGTCTCTTCACCACGATGAAGATCGTTCCATTCTTCTATCCGACTCCGAAGACGACGACTTGCTCCCTGCACCTCGTAAAGTACGCGAGCCGACGACACCCGCGTCTAGGGATAGTGAGGAGGCCATGCGCCAGAAGACCAAAGATGCAGCTGCCAACATCCCAACCCACCCAATACCCGCCATGCAGCCAGCCTTCTCCGAGTCTCTAATCGAGGCTACCAATAGTCCTGCCCTATCGAAACCGAAGCTTAGATTTGCCACAGCGAGGGAACGTAGAAACTACTTGCTGGACGGGGCTAAGGGAGAGGGGCTACATAGCGAGCTATGGCGATACCGACCAGGTCAAAAATATCACGAGCTCTGGAAGCTCATGGCTCAAATATCATTCGGCGTACACTTACTACTCAATGGGATCGCGAATAGTAACGAGCAGGTGGTTAATATCCTCCAAGGTCACATCGACGAGGTAGACGAGTTTCTAGAGACGATATTAGAAGATGTCGAACTCGCGATACATGATATTCGAGATCGTATCGACCATCTGAAGCTGCCGATGCAGAATATCGAGACCTTTGAGCAAATGCTGGAGGATCGTAGTTTTCGGTTGCAGATAGTAACTGGGAACGAAAAGATCGAGCATATAATCTCTCGGACTACAACGGCCCTGGAAGTGATAGTTGCGGATATCGGCGAGGGACAGGGTGCCACGAAAGAGTTTGCATCGTATCTCAGCGATCAGCAGGACGGGGTGTGGCAACAGCAGCGTCCAGAGGTTGGGGATATTTTCGACGCCATGAGAGGGAACGCCCAAGGCTGGTACAAAGCCTTTCTCGAATTGCAGCGTACAACGTCGAATTTACGCGCCCTGCTCAACAAGCTCGACAGGATAGTATCAGAAATGAACTATCGCGCTGGTGAAGTAAGCCGGAGAACAAGGGTGAGACATTATGTAGCTAGGTGGTATGGTATGCAAATATGCTAACTCGTTGGTAGGCAAGTGTTGTTCCGTTCTCTAGCCCGATAGACCAGCCTCTGCCGAAGAGTAACTCGCGAAATTCATCGATGCGATCGTCTGATAGATGGCCACCGAAACTTGAGCTCTCCAATAGCACGTCTCAAAGATCCGTAGCGGGTTCAACCGGAACCAGGGAGACGCTCATGGTGGTCCAGTACAACGCCCCGATAGAACCAATGTCTCCAGTGGAGTTAGAGGCGGACACCGTTCCAAGAATGGCTATAACCATCGAAGAGGACTCAGAACCTGCTGAGGAGGAAGAGGAGGAAGAGGAGGAAGAGGAGGAAAAGGAGGAAAAGAAGGACGAGCCGCCGGCGGATGAAGGCCTCTACATTCTACAGCCACGAACGTATACTCCACAACCGCCCGCACCAATACCTTCGCCAAGAGTCCAAGATTCGTCGTTCGAAGATCTTCCACTCCCAATAGAGGACCTTGAAATCGAAGACCTTGAAATTCAAGGCCCTACAATAGAAGACCCTCCAATACAAGATCCCCCAATCGCGATGCCAGAGGAGCAGCCGAAGAGAACATCTTTGCGGCAGAGGCTGTCTCTAAAAGGAAGCAGCCTGCCAGAAGCTATTCAGGTTCCCTCTCGTAACATGCCTGAGCTCCAGAGGCCCACGTACCTGGACGCACAATACCAGTCTCCGGGATACCTACCCTCGCGCACCTACCAAGGCCCAGATTCTGCCTATGGCTCTGACAGCGAGGCACGGCAGCCAGTCCGTTCGATGACGGAATTTGGAGGTGTGCTACCACCGCCAGGTTTTCCGGCGCCAGCGTTACCTTCTCCGAGTTCGGACAGACAGCACTACTTCCCAGTACGAGCAAGTCCTCACTCGCCTCTGCAGCAGAGACCGTGGACGTCCGGCACGCACATGCATGCAGGCCATTTACGAAATCAGCCTTCGGCAATGGGAATGAGCATGCTAAGTAACGTGACAACGCTCAACCCGGAAAATCAGAAGGCGGTAAAAAAGAAGCGTAGTGCATTTGGGTGGCTGAAGAAGGCATTCTCACTCGATGACGAAGAGCGTGCAGAATTCGAGGCAAGGAGAGCACAGCAAGCTCCTAATCCATATTATGAAAGCCGAAGCCCTCAGTACTTGGACGGCAAGCGTGTACCAGACTATAGGCGTCGACAATAATCCGATCGAGGGGGAACGCGGCGGTGTCGCAGGAACCTTGAATTGTTATTCTCCGACTCGGAGGATGTTTTCGATGGGGCCTTGGGGGTTAATAAGTGGTCATCGATTGATCTGCGATCTGATCGGCAAGCACCAAAGCGAGCTTAAAACAAGGAATGTCGCAGTTTGCTCGGAACGACAACTGCGACAAACATTCTGCCGGACTACTCACCCATCGCCGGGGAAGTGGCGTGCCTAGATGAATCTAAGAACAGATATGTAGCCATATGTGGTCTGCTTATGCTTTATACTACTCCTTAGATAATTGGCATATTCGATACCACATATTGTGCCCCTATTTACTTAAGATGGGCTCGAGCCAAAGACATTTATCGACTCAAGTTAAGGTAAAACGACGGAGGAGATTGAGGTTGGATGCGTTAATGCAGGGATTATGCCCTGAACGGCAACATCACCTCAAGCACTATCCTTTTCGAGCAAAGAATTCCCACGCCTTTCCGACGCGGCATAACATAGGCGTTATTATGTAGTGTATATACGTACGGGTGTATGATATGGGTGACCAACTTTTTACTAGATAATGGCATAGCGATGCATTTCGGATGCGCGGAGTTTGAAGGGGCGTTACATGGATGGCTCAGCTATTTCAATTTTGCTATCGAAGTAGTTAATCGTAGTTATAAAAGTATTTTCACTTCATTTATTCCAGCTTATGTTCCTAGTTGATTTGGAATGTTGATTGTGGTGAGAGGACGTAGCGTAACTTATGGATAGCTTGGTCCTTGCTCATCCCGTCTTTTGCTTCTCGATATATGATTATGAGATGTTTTCACGGATCTGCCCTTATCGCTCTTCCTTGGTCTACCTAAAGTATATAACTATTTAGGTACGACAAGCCGAGATGATTCAGTATTTACGTGCTAGTATAAATTAAATGTCCTACTGCTACTATTGCACTTACCAAATGAAGCCATCTCCAAAGCCCTGTCCTTCCCCTCACAATCTCGGCCCTTCGTATGCACTAGCGTGCCTTCCGGACTCTCTGCCTATCTGGGAAACACGGCGCCGTTCGCTTTCGCTTACGCGTCCCGAGAAGCAGGGGGCAGCTGAGGCTCATTTTGTACACGTATGTTTACATTATTTAGTCCTAATATTGCCTGGGTTTATTCTAACGTCGACACTTATAACCCAGCTCCTCGGAGTCTTTCTACTCTACATTTGTTATAGGTATTACGTTAGGTAGTTAGTTATATGACTACCTACCCATTTTTGTATGTATACTTCCGGTCGTAAAGTCGTGAATAATGTCTTCGGTTGCGGTCTCCAGCGGTCCGTCGAGCGCCTTTAAGTTCGGCACGGGGGGCTGGGATCCGGAGCACCGCTTCGAGACGTCGTGGCTGTTCCCGCCGTATGTGCTGTTTGCTCTGCGGCTGTTGATGGCTTTATGTGTGGATATGTGTATCGTATGCATATGTAGGTATGTATATGTCATGTATGTCGGCGATATGCCCGAAGTGCGCCACCGTCGCAATCAGCCGTTGATGCATACTGTGTATGAATACCGGTACCGTGGCGGCGGGTTGCGTATTGTGATGTACGTCCGAGCCGATACTCATCACCGGCGCGCGTCTTAGGCCCACCCGCTTCAACGTCCATTCTATTCTCTATACCGTACGCATACAGGTCAATGCAAACCGGTGCTAACCATATACAGTCCCTCTACGCCTTCACAACATTACTCTTCAATATCGGATACCAATGCGCCCACGCCGATTTAGGCGGGTGTGAGGCCTCGCGCGACGAGTTCTCATATTTCACGGTGCTCACGTACTGGGGCCTCGCCTTCTACATGCTCATAGCATCGATCCACACATTCACCTACGCGCGGTACTCCGGCCCCTTTCTCGCCCGCTTCCCGCGGCCATTGCAGGCCCTGCACGCTCTGTTCTACAGCACCGTAACGACGTTTCCCTTCCTAGTGACTATCGTGTACTGGGGCGTGCTATACGGCTACGGAGCCGCCTGGTTCCCTACCGTCTACGGCGCCTGGTCCAATATCAGCCAGCACGCGCTGAACAGCCTCTTCGCGCTCTTCGAGATCTTCCTCACGCGCGTGGACCCTCAGCCCTGGATTCACGCGCTCTGGCTTATTGTCATTATGGCGCTTTACCTGGCTCTGGCGTATGTGACGAAAGCGACAAAGGGCTTCTACGTCTACCCCTTTCTCGACCCGGGGAAGACGGGATCCCTGGTCGCCGCGTACGTCTTCGGGATCGGCGCTGCTACGCTTGTGATTTTCGCTATTGTGAAGAGCGTTGTTTGGATGCGTCGCTGGCTTACGGAGGAGAAGCTGGGGCGGCATGGCAAGTTTGCTGGCTTCCCGCCTAGGAGAGGGATTGAGGAGGTCGAGATGGGTGATATTCTCGGGGCTGGAATTAAGTAATCCGGGTGCTGAAGCACTGGCTACTTGTTGGCCAGCTACTATGCGACAGTGTTGTAGGCGCAGTATGTCTTTTGTTTTTTGAGCGAGCATCCCAGTGATTAAATATATATACCTACCTACCTAGGTGTCTAGGCAATGATACTCATCAATATCATCTATATCCCGGCATTTATGACCATGACGTACTACGTTGGGTTTTCCTATTTGGACCTATTTGTTCTTGTCATGGCCTATTGGAATTGGACAGGATGAGAAATAGGAAAATTAAATATGAAAAAACATAAGATAAGAGTTGAAAGCTTCTAAAAGTCGTGAGCAAGTTGTTTTGTGTCAACGTTTTCAGCCATCGCTCTTACGATAAGGGGTTTCCTATAACTATCTCTCTTTTTAGTTAACAATTAAGGCAACTATTCGTATGATTAAACCGCGTACGAATATTTTAAAATAATGGGATCTAACTTTCGTATCAGTCTATTATAGAAACAAAATCGAAATCCCGGCCCCTAACACCTTGGAAGACAGCTCGTTCGTCTGGTCAGCGTGTCGTGGGATCGTCGGTATCGTCGGCTTCCCCGCAATTTTCGCTTCACTGCCGAGATAATCTAAAAATATATAAAGTGAATGCATCCCAAAAAGAAAATGAGATATTAACCGGAAATGACCTTATAGGTTGGAAAACCGAATAGTCTTAGCTATATGGAGGCAAGATCCGACACTGCTAGTAATGGGTGGCGGTCAAATAAGCATGACTAAATGTACACGGGATTAGTACCACTATATCCCTCTACTTGCCTCAGTAGATTAATATTAGGATAACCTGTGGTCCGGAGTATATAGCCATGTCCTATCCTGGTCACGGTTATCTATTCTCTTTGCACTCTTTCTGTTTTTATCTTCAAGTAGCAAAAATAGTAAAGATGCAGCTCCTCACAACTCTCCTGCTTGCCGCAACGGCGGTACAGGCTCACTGTAAGTTAGACCTCATTCTTTTATCTATCTGCAACTCCGCCTAACTAACTGTTTTAGACACATTCCCCCGACTTGTCGTCAATGGCAAGTCCGAGGAGGCGGACTGGTCTGCTACACGCAAGACTAAGAACGCCGATAGCAAGACGGGTGTCTTGAGCGCAACAAGCCCGGATATCCGCTGCTACTCCTCGCAGAATGCGGCCAACATTATGACTGTACCTGTTGGCTCAACCATCCACTATATTTCGACGCAGCAAGTGAACCACCCTGGCCCTACCCAGTATTACTTAGCCAAAGTGCCCGAGGGTAAGAGTGCCTCGAACTGGGATGGTTCTGGTAACGTCTGGTTCAAGATTCACACCACGAAGCCGACCATGGATAACAACAAGCAGCTCACCTGGCCTGCGCAAAGTAAGCTTCAGTTCCCAAAGACAAAAAATAACGATTACCTACTAACTGTTTATTAGATGAGTACGTGTTGACCAATGCAACCATTCCCGCTGCTACACCCGACGGAGAATATCTGCTCCGCGCGGAGCAAATCGCGTTGCACCAGGCCATGCAGGCGAACGGCGCCCAGTTCTATCTGGCATGTACTCAGATCAAGATCACTGGAGGTGGAAACGGGACGCCCGGCCCTCTTGTTGCTCTGCCAGGAGCCTACAAGACCAACGACCCTGGCATCCTAGTCAACTTAGGCACTATCCAGCCAGACTCTTATGTCCCTCCGGGGCCTGCTGTATGGAGTGGTTAAGCATACGTAGCCGAGGATAGATAATTCCCATTAGTCGTAATAATATACAATTGCGAAAGAGACCTTTTAACCCTTACACCAATACACTTTTGTACCCAAGACTTAAAGCGTCTGCAAATTCAAAGTATTTATCTTGAACCCGCCGCGATGCCCCTGGCGATGCGATCGGAGATAGCCATTATAGTAATCATAGGATTCACTCCGCTTGCCGAAGGGAATACGCTCGCATCTGCGACGTACAGGTTTTCAGTCTCCCACACCTTACCATATTGATCGACTACACCCTTTTCTTTGGTTTTACTCATGCGGCACGAGCCCATTTGATGCCCAGATACTAGCAAGGCGTCAGCGAAGTCCGCCCGTTCGAGCTCTCTGATCCACCTAGCAAAATTGACATCGTCCACTTTCCTTTCGATGGCCGGCGCGTCACTCTTAAATGACGGGACGCTTCGAATCGGAGGGATTAATTCCGTGGCCCCCTGGATATAGCACATCTTAGCGGCAGCAACCACTCCGGTTTGTATACTTCCTCGATCGAACTTTGAAGGCGTATAAGCAACGATAGGGCTCCCATCAACATCCGGATATACTGAGCCTGTGTCGCGATCACGCGCGAGACAGAAGAAGTTGTTCATATGTCGAAACCCTAGGGCATCTATCTTGTACTGTAATCCGCTGTGCCATGGAATTTGCAGCATGGACATGAATGGCTGCAAGATGCGGCATCAGATATACCGTACGAGAACTGAATAACGTGCAGGACTCCACTCACAAGCATATTTGCTATTTCGACACGGACCCCATGGCCTTTGCCGTCGAGGTTCTCAAATTCGTACATGAGGCTCGTTAGGATTTCATCTTGACTATGTTAATACGCTATCTTTGAAAGGATTTAAACTTACCTTCCCATCCCCTAACCTCATCTTTGAAGACGGATAGTGTAACGCTGCAAGGGTGCACGTAGAGGTTCCTCCCTATGTGGTTGTTCTATGCAGTGTTAACCACTCACCCAACCAATGTAAAGGAAGACTAACCTTCAACCCGCTCCTGAGTAAAATAAGGGGGGTATTAAGTGAACCGCCTGATAAGATGACTTTCTTAGCTCTTATGTAGACCTGTTTCTCAGTCTTGGTCTTCGTAGTTTGCACGTTGCCATCTGCGTCGCGGGGTGTCCAGGTTCCTACAACTCCAACAGCTTTCTTCGATCCATGTTCATCATCCCAGAGTATTTTCGATACTTCGAATCCTTCAACGAATCGAGCACCAGCTTTCGCTGCTGCCGGTAGCCAGCTGACAGCGGGGCCTTGCTTCGTACTTGTCCGGCAACCAAGAGCACAAAAGCTACCGCAGCTGTGCCTAGAGGAACCGGAGTTCTGCGCAACGACCCTAGAATTCCAACCAAGCGCCCGAGAACCCTCTAGGATAACATTGTTACCGTGATTCAGATGCACATGCGACTCACTAACTCCCATCATCTCATAGGCTCGGTCTATCGAGGCCTCATAATCGGCTTCCTTGAAGAAGTCTAACCCATGTTCTTCTGCCCATTCAGATCTGACTTCATCCGGAGTCGCAATACTTGCACTCCAATTAACGGTGCCACCTCCTCCCCAACAGCTTCCCGCAGAAATTAAGGTGGATCCATCAACAGTTGACATTGAACCTCCGCCTTCGAACAAGATGCTCATAGTGTCCAGGGCTAGAGGAAGCTGGCTTGGCTGAAAATAATACCCCTTGTCGACTACTATGACGCGGTGGCCAGCTTCCGCAAGTACTTTAGCACAGACGCCCCCACCACATCCGGAACCAACAACGAGTACATCAGTTTCGACGGCCTCGCCATCTGGAAGCGGATCATTAAACTGCAAGAAGTTGTAATCTATCGTAGGCCCGGGCTTAGGTTTTCTGGCGTCTTCTGCGTATTGCTCGTACCCGCTAATCCTAAGCAGGAGGGGGTCGGTTATGCTCCAAGCTACTTTTCCCATGACCAAGAAGTTCTTAGCGATCATGGGCCAAAGAAATAGCCAGGACCTTTGCCATGATTGAATGATAGCTTCTCTTACGGGCGTTGACTGTTTCGTAAGGGGTGTTAAAGACCCAGTGCTGATTAAACTACCGAGTCGTGTTCTATGCACCTTGTCAATACTACTTTAATGATATGCAAAAGGTAGAAAATGGGAAGTACGTGGTTCCATACAAAATAACATTTAGAACGAAGCCGAGTTGTTTTACTGGCGTGGGAGGCAAGTTGCCAATGGTACCTTTGAGAGCAGCAACAAACTTGGGATTATCCACCGGCCGTGCCGATAGATATTCTCTGAACTCTTGGACGGTAGGCGGATTCGTCATTTTCCGCTGAATTTGCCGGTAAAAGTCGTCGAATTCGCCTTGAGTGATAGTGATGCCGTTGCTGTTAGCCGCCTTATATTCTCCCACCGCTATTGAGGGAACAACCGAGTCAACGAGTGCAAGCAATGCCTGCCATTGGTCCCCTGTAAACACGCTGTCCTCCATCGCCATTTTTTCGATTGAATATACTTGATCCGCTCAACCTCGATTTAGTAGTAAGTGAGAAGGTCGAGTAGATCCCGAGGAGGCAATCCTTCAGGTACCGTGTTACCATAGGTCAAAATAAGTATTTGTTACGTTTACTCCCTAACCCACCCCTCCATCCTTTACCCCCTATACTCCAAATATCGTGTAACTTGGTGGCTGTAAAAAGTCCTACGTACCTAGATCTGTACCGCGGAGTGTCCAAGTCTTTGGATACGGTAGCAGCACTTGTGGAAGCAGATCTACTATCACGAACCGTAGGGTGTGAAGTAAAGTCCTAACCCCTTTAGAAATGTACCTAAATTATTCCGTACAAACGGGAAAACGGCTTTTACATAGCAGCTGCCTGACGTATAATCCCTGTCTGTGGAACCCATATGCAAGACCCACAGACCCAATACGGATCCGTATGTACGGATTAGGTACCTACAGTGTTTGGATCAGATAATCTTATCTGATTGATAATTTGGCTTGGCATCAATCCGAGCCAATTAGAGGTACATGTAGGTACATACTCTGTATAATTGACGATACTAAAAACCAACCCCGTACCCCGGACTTATCTTACCACCTTTGGTCTATCTTCAGGGATTCATCGTCGTGAAACTGCTAGGTAGCCTAAGAACCTATTATAAGATGACTCATTGAGTGACCGCCGTATCCAGGCTTGTCCGTCTGCCTGCCTGCCTTCGGCTTCGGCTTCGGCCAACCGATCTTCTTTTTAAATATGCCTCCCATCCGCCCCAAACCTCCTTTCTAATTCTTTCTTAACATGTCTTATTAGTGATTGCTCCTATGTATCCTTAGTTTCGTACCAAGATACCGTAGCAAATCCAGTCATGGCGATGCCAAAGAACCAAGATGATATTGAAGCAGCGCCCGATCCGATTGCAGTAGAATTAGCCAAAATCCCAACACCGACTACCACGGCCGTCAAGAAAGACTCCGATCCCTTCCTCGTCTCCTTTGACCAACCCTACGATGCCGAGAATCCATTAGATTGGCCAACAGGCCGCAAATGGATGGTGACCGACGTCTTGTCCGCTACAGGCTTTAACCGTATCATGGTCTCGACAATCATGGCCCCGGCATTATCAACTATCGCCAATGATCTCAACATGAGTTCAGCCGAGTCGGCCATGTCCCTTTCCATATACCTCTTAGCCACCGTCTTTGGCCCGCCGCTTATTGGCCCATTGTCGGAAATATACGGTAGAACAGTGATTCTACACAGTTCCAACGTCTGGTTCCTCGTTTGGAATCTTGTTTGTGGGTTTGCCCCGACCAAGGGTACACTTATCGCAGCTCGCTTCTTGGCGGGTTTTGGTGCCAGCGCCATATATTCTCTTGCCGGAGGTGTTCTTGGAGATGTGTGGAGGCCGGAACAGCGAGGCAGTTCATTGGGAGTCTACTTAATTATCCCCTTGTTTGGTGCAGCGGTTGGTAAGTTCTCCGCACAAGATCTAGTAGTGCATCTAGTGGTGCTTGAAGGGGATCAATCCCCTCTATAGTTGAGTGACTAGTTGAGTGACTACACTATTAGACCGACCAGCGTATCTAATTGGCATCTTAGGTCCTATAATTGGTGGTTTTATGGCTGCGCGAACAACTTGGCGGTGGATGTTCTGGGCTACCTCTGCATTTCAAGCCGTCATGATATCCGTGTCTTATTTTAGTTACCACGAGACGTACGGACCACTAATACTCCGACGGCGTGCCCAGCGCCTTCGCAAAGAAACTGGGGAGAGCCGATATCATACTCAAGGCGAAATAATCGATGGGAACAGGTCGGCCGTTGCCATTCTAGTGCAAGCTTTATCGCGACCGGTTCGTCTCTTGCTTTTCCATCCCATCATCCAAGTTTCAGCCGTTCTATCGGGATTTAGCTACGGAATTTTGTATGTCGTCCTCTCTACGTTTTCTGCTCTGTTTACGTCCCAATACGGACAGTCAGTCGAAATTAGTGGATTACACTACATTGCTTGCTCCCTTGGCGAGTTGGCCGCCTCGCAAGTCGGTGCGCCTTTGATGGATTATTTGTACAAGCGGCTACCGGCACATAAGCAGAATCCAGAGTCTCGTATGCCATTAATGTTCCCCTCAACTATTATCACGTGGGTAGGTGCCTTGATATATGGGTGGGCGGCTGCGTATCGACTGCATTGGATCGTAGTTGATATCGGAGTATTCATCATGTTATTCGGCATGCAACTAGGGGGCTTACCTAGTAAGTAATATTCGAATATTTCCCTGATCGCCTTGATTTATGGGGGAAGTACTAACTCTATGTGCTTCAGTAACGGCCTATGTTATCGACGCGTACGGAGAACACACAAGTAGCGCTATGGCGGCACAGCAATTTCTTAAGAGTTTAATGGCTTTTCTATTCCCATTATTCGCTCCAAGCATGTATGCAGCACTTGGGTACGGATGGGGTAATAGTGTACTGGCCTTAGCGGGCTTAGTACTTTCAATCCCTCTCCCGATATTCTTATGGAAGTATGGAGCAAGGTTGAGGGCCAAAGCAATTTCGACCTACTAAGGAGTGTAGAGAAGTAAAATATACGGACTGTCGCACTCTAACCCTGAAATATTTCCTCGGAACTTTGTCCATGTCGACGCGTACCTTAACAGGGTGGCAATAGTCTAGGAAGAATCACCTTGGAATACTCGGGATAAGATGCTTGCCTGCACTCTCCTTATCATTGTGTCAACTCATAACAAGTAACCCGGATACTTCTCTATCTTTGGTATTTTATATAGGTTAATGTCGTACTTGGGCAAATAGGTTGATAACTTTCTAGATAATAATATCAAATAACTACCTAAAGCATATTTTATCGTACTTGAATTTTACCCTATGATACTAGGACTCGATACTAGTTAATTAGGTACCCAATTCATAAAGCTCATAGTATCCCAAGAACTTAGGTATCTCAACACTACGTAAGACAAAAGAGCATTGTCATGACATTTCAGAGGACTAGCCACGCATTAGCATGAGTAAAGGTAGTTAGTAAGGGCGATATAGAGCTAAAATGCATTGAATTGTCTTTATGAAGGCTTTACCATCATATAAAGGAAAGAGTAGCGAGTATGCTAACCGTAACTTATGTTGCCTATGTGTTGTAGCTACCAAATCTATTAAGGCTAATATAATAGGGTTTTGTTATGCTGTCATATTACGTCAGGTCTCTCCACTCCAGGGGTAAACAGCAGGTTATAATCACCACATTTAGAACCACATTGGTTCTTTATTTGATATGTTCTCCCCATACCCCTTTTAATTGCCTTCACTATGTCCTCTCTAACGATTAGAATCAAATAGAAAGAGCTGCTAGGTCACAGTAATCAGTCACGGAGGAGTGAAGAGAAGTGACTGAATGTCAAGGAAGCGTCCAAGTATAAGACCAAGTATAAGATGGCAAATGGAAGGTCATAAGGATAGAAACCTCTGTACAATCACAAGACAGTCGAGTACAGGTGGCTGGGAATACTGTTTCTCTTCCCATGCCACCCCTAAACGTCAACAATCTCGGCGTCTCAACATCGCCGCGGTCACCATTCTGAGTCATACTTTCCACAACCAGATCGCCATGGCGATTTAGATTAATACCTAGGGATCTTTTCACTCTGCTCCTTCCACAAGATGCACTTTCCTCTTTCACAATTAATATTTTACCTAAGGTACCTAGCCACACAAGCCATCACTTTCCCCAACTATAAAACCCCAACCTTTCCTCCCAACTCTTCCTCCCAAATCTTCCTCCCAACCTTTCCTACCAACCCTAACAATCCTAACAACTTACCTCCTAACCTACAACAACTTCACTCATAATTTCCTACCTTAAACCATCAAAATCATATTCATAATCATCAAAATATCCTTGAGTTACGTCGGCATTTAACAAAAAAGTGCCCGGCATGCTGGTCTTCAACTTCGACCAAGATAATAAATATTCCCTAATTTCTGTCCTAAAAACACAAATAACTCCCAATCTCAATCCACGGCACAACAGAGTTACATCCATAACCTATCACCATAGTTCTGAAGAGGTACGTCCTGACGTCCTGACGTCTGCGCGGAGGTACCCGTCTATGTGAGACTCGCCAAGCAAATCGCCGAAGGCCTCGACAACGATGCCGCGCTCAGAGCAAAGCACTCTATGGTGAGAGATGTGGTGAAAGAATGGCGTAATTAGAGTGCCATCCCTAACAGCGAAACCGTCGACTCCTTCGAGGAAGGCGTTGAAGACGTGGAAAAAATTCACAATGCATTTTGCTCCTTATTCCATACCATTGACAGGAAGACGTGGAAAAGATTCACAATGCATTTTTGCTCCTTACTCCATACCATTAACAGGAGAACGCTGCAATCCCTACTCCCCGGAACAATCACTCACAACGCCTACGGATACGCAGAGGAATATCCTACTAAGGCCGAGAAGAGATTTACTTGCCTGATGACTGACAACAGTGATATCCATCAGAGTAGTAAGTTAACTTGCTCATGATTTTATCTTATTGTCTACGGAGAAACAGGGCTAACAGCTACCTATCATAGATGCTCTTCGCAACCAACTATCTCCGCACCCAACAATATTGACTAACTCCTTATAACCAACGCAACCCCTAACCAATACTATTCTATTATTACACAACATTCAAGACAATAAACTAATTTAATTTAAATGGTACCAAACCCCAACCAACCATGGGGCGGGGGAATTCGGCGCAGTAATTACAATATTTTCGGGTTCGTACCTCATGCTCTATTACGGGTCTTTCATTAGCTAATCTTCTGCAGCGGTCAACCTAATTATGTTCCTAAACTTAGGTACATAAACCATATCAACAAAATATCTTCCGCGTCATCTTTCCCGCCTTGAGCCTTGGTCCATCAAGCTCAAACAGGGTGTACGCAGGAATTTGGGATTACAGTCACCCCTACTCAAGGTTCGGATCTATGGAACAACTTCAGAAAGCTACCACCTGCGTTTAACACCCAGTTGCGAAGGTATTCAAAAGGTGGCGGGTAAAGGGGCTAGTAAACCAGGACCTAGAGTCCTATGGTTTGTCGGGCGGCGCGGCGGTTTAAATAGATCTCTGTACCGAGACCCTGCTGTGGCGGAAGCCCAAGAGCAGGAGGACCTGTTCACTACGCCTACCAATGTGCCTATTAGGAAGCATTTCCGTTTCCCATTTTTCGCGTCCATCCCATTCGCGACACCGGACGAACAACTATAAGCTACAAAAGATACACATCGTGTCATGAGGTGGAGAAGGAAGCAAGGAAATGGTTTAGTTGCTCCGCGAAGCGCGAGAAGCCGCGGCAGGGGCTTACACCTTATATATGCCTCTGATAGTATCCTTTATTCTAGATGTCGCATCTAGAATTATGAGGATACCTTAGAGGAGTATTACTATTACAGCCCTCTGGATTACGAATGGCTCATGGTAAAGCACATACTTGGGTGGCGTCACTGGTTCTTTCTGATAGGAGAAACACATCGGGCGACTGGGTGGGAAGGGATATACAGACATTCGGATAGATAGTTCTGGCATGCTCACTGGACGTAAACATGTTCATTCTGGGTATAATCAACAGCCGAAAGATATCACTCAGGTTATAGTTCATTAGGATCATAGACATCTCCTAACAATCAATTATAATCCCAAGAATACGAATTATTTCGCAACTACCGTTCCTAAAGAATGACAAGGACCCGCCTTAAGTAATTATAGCTGTTTAAGAATTGGATGAAGATATGGGGAGAAATATTAATTTGCCAATGTACCTCATAGGTCACTAATCTAGACCACTCTAATTCTACACATTATCTTCCCCATTCCGCCGTACGCGATCTTATAATAGGAGAGAAGTATACCGAAGAGCTGACCCCGAAGCTTCCAATGCCCCTCTGGATATATCATTACTCAAGTAACAATTGCCCTCCACATAAAAAAGGCCAGAACTAGGATAATCCCACCACGTACCCAAGGTAAACCAAGACGTAAAAGAAAAAAGATGGATAAAAAGATGGACTAAAAAGAACGGTCTGACCTTCAGTCAACAGGCTCGCAGAAGTATCTAATTGTTGCAACCTCCGGGAATCGAACCCGGGTCTCAAGCTTACTACCGAATAGGTAATGGAAGGCTTGAATGATAGCCATTACACTAAGATTGCATGTTTGCTGAGGCCCTCGTTGCGGTATATATCGTGTAAATACAGACCAGCCAATCATAGTTAAGGATTCCTTCGCGCTTAGAAGAAGAATGAAAAAAAGTGGTTGGGGCTAGTATGACTTGGGAGTTGGCGGTTTTTTTTTGACGATGGGGCTAGGGTAAGTGGGTGGAGATGAGCTTGGTTGATTGGATTTTATCTATATTCTGTCAGAACTTGCGAGTTCAGTAGGTAGGATCTAAGGATTTACTTGTAGGGAAGGAGTCTAATGTAATCTGTGTCTAATAATGGACAAGCCAGCGTCCCGTTTAATCTACCCCATCATTCCCTGTCTGTGAACCACCGTCTCCATCGCGAACATCAAGTTTCTCAAACCTCTTGCGAGCTTCTTGATAGTCTTCATCCTTGCTTACGTCTTCGGTTTCCGCTTGCCCCTGCGCCTTTCCCGCCTCGATAGCCATCTCCTTCTTGTCTTGCTTGGCGGCTTCCAGCGCAGCGGGCTTTAGAGACCCATCCTCGTTAACGTCTTCCTTCAGGTAGAGCGTAAACACAACGACCAGGTAGGTATCGTTTGTTGACCGGTTTCGCAGCGTGTATCTAAGGGTGTGTGAGCGTTTCGGCTTGGACCTAGATAGGTAAAACGACGCAATGAGAAAGGACGATTCTAGCAAAGCATAGGTAGTGAGATAAGTTAGTAAGTTGGGGGGTTTCTTACCGTAAGCTCTGGCCGTCCCAATACTTCATTATTGGTAGGGTAAAACCTGGTAAGCGTAGGCTGAACTCGCTAAAATCCAAATACGGGTTGAAAAATTCCAAACAGTACGTTTTATCGTACTGGAATAGCCATTTTCTCTTGTTTTCTGGCTTCAAAGCCCATTTCATGCGATCTTTCGCTATTGCTGGAGCGCCGATAGCCTCTCGCTCTTTCAGCCCGTCTTCATCGCCACCTTCCTCGAACCATAAACCGCCTTTTTCGGGATCGACCTCCCCTGCGCCAATGTGAATATAATTGAATGACGAGAGAGCTGGCCCGTATAGATATGGCTGATCTGCGTATGCGTCGCCCTCGAGGCCGGGGTCGATCCACCATTTTACGATGTTCATAGCATAGCTAAAGCCGGGCGGGAGGCGATCACGGATCGGATGTTCAAAGTCATTGCCAAATTGGAGATCTTCCCCGGATATACCGTTTGTCGATTCTCCGCTGGCGTCTTCCGCGCTAGTTTCCGGAGACGATGACCTGGACGGATCGGTAGAAGTAGTTTTTGAGTTGGACGCACTTGCTGGCCTCTTGGGGGTAAAGCGAATGGCTATGCTGTACTGGTCCTTGTTGGAAGCATGTGGTTCGTGAGAGAAATAAGGAGACGTAGTAGGCGAATTCCTTGGCAGACCCCGATAATTTTGCACACGAACGTTGAGGTCGATGTCGATTAACTCGCTACTAATTTTAACATGCTCGTGCGTGTTAACTGGTACTACGACGTGTTGATCCAAGTCGTAGCCTGGCCCAGCAGTTACTCGAATAACGTATTTATCTGCCATGCCGCGAAATGGCCGTGTTCAGGTCTAGTACGGCTTAGAGACAGACCACCACAGCCCAAACTCATATAATTTCCCCGCAGCTAGTATTCACGTAATAGGGTTAAGTAAACCTAGAAATATGAGATAATTCTAGTATACAGAAGGAAAAACACCTAATCCTAAGCTTCGACTAGGACTGTATGGCTTCGACTTCTTTGCGGCGTATGGCGATTATCAAAACGGACTAAAATTGAGACTTAAGGGGAAGGATGGGACTTGTAGTTGGGTGCTTGGTGATTGGTGAAATAGAAGACACGGTTTTCGAGGAAGTCTATAATAAATCAAGCACAAAGGGGCTAGAAAGTTGACAATGGAAGTGGGAAGATAGGAATGTCGTTAAATTCATAGTGTAATGGTCAATATATACTAGCAGCGTTGCCCCGTCCGCTCAAACGCGGACGGGGGAAAGCATGCGCAAAACTGACGCCACAGCTGCAGTTTGGCCTCTGATTGGCTAGCCACACCTCAGCGCACGTCCGATGAATTTTTTGTAGAATCAATTGAACTATTTCAGCATTGTATAAAAAGTTTAATAATTGGTATCGTTAGATAGAGCTCGTTTTGCATGACCTTTCTATACTATTTGCACCTCTTGCAGACGTCATGCGATAGAATGGCAAAGGGAAAAGTCGCAAACTGCGGGGCGATTCTAAGCATCTGATTGGTTGAAAAAATTGTGGCAGTACTAATTAAATATATAAGACTTGATTCGTTGGATCTGGAATTTGCATGATTGTGGATGACGTCGCTAGGTTAAGGCAAAGCAGGATCTAAAGCACGGACCATAGCTTATTTGCTTATTTAATGGAGCTAAGGTACCTACGTGAAGTCTATCAAGAAGGTAGGTAGGATATCGGGTTTAAATATAAATCCATAGGTACCTCTTATACTTACCTATCAATAATACGGCATCCACTCCGCTACGCTCAAGGAATCATCTCGGATATACGGGTATGTTACATTTTAGTTTTTAAGTGTGTATTAATCTAGCCTTTGTACTTTGACGTATAGTTAACACCTTTTAAAACTTTGGAATGAATAGATATCCTGGGTTCCATAGATTTCATCACAATGGTATTCTCCAGTGAAGGGGCACAAAAGGGAGGTGAGACTAAGATGCGCGCTAAGTCAACCATATATCTCTAACTTAGATGCCCTCGGCGCAATTAGACGAACCGGAATTTAAGTTATCACGGATAAGGGTTCGGATGACAGAGAGCGAGGACCAACGTTGGTTAGGAGAAAACACACGATGAGTTCCGAAGATACATTGTACTTGATAAAATAATATATACGCTTATAATAATGGCGATATCACTTGGGCACGAGGAATTGATCGATGTCAACTCTTTCGAAGAAGCTAATGTGGCCGAAGCCAACCCAATACTGAGCCAGGCGATTATACGAGAGTAAGAGGAGCTGTGACTCAATGTATCGATCTATAAATAGTTTAGTGGAAATAATGGAGAAAATACAAGTATTAAATATCTCACCGTTAGAAAATCCCATATGAGCAATGTGACCTCGGCTTTTTACAACTCGGGCGCCTTCGAACGGCGGCTCTTTAGCCGTACCCAACAATCCATTGTCGCTTAGATCATCAGCAACAAAAGTATACTCTCCTCTCGGTACATTAACGTCGCCTGTTAGCTTGACCCCTTCTAGCCGACCGCGATAGACACGTTCGTGAAGAAAACGTTGTTCAAACTCCGACTCTGTCTCGTCCTGGAGCCGCTCCAAGGGTTCTTGCTGGCTGTCGTCGTCAGGCTGGTTGATTAATAGAAACTCGCAACCGTGCCCGCTAAAGTCGCCAACCCATATCCCCCTCCAGGGTTTTTCAGCCGTCGGAGTATATAGGGCGGAGTCAAGAGTTGAGTAAGTTACTAGTTCTTCGGCAGCATGCACACCAAGAGTTGCCATCTCCATCCATCGCCTAATGCGAAACGTTCGATCAGACGCTTCTGACCGGTTGCGCGGCTGCCACATTGATGACGTCGACCTCGTATAACTTAGGGATGTCGCAAGCGGATGCACACCGGTCGGTTGACCTGTCACACGATGGCGTGCTGGAATCGCGGGTGGGGGCCAGACATAACCATACGGAAAGTCGCTTGTCATACGGCCAACTAGGGCGGACTTGGTAAGAGGCTTTGCAAGAAGAAAGTTGCTAAATCGAGGGTCCGTCCCACTATTAATACGCATTGGCTGCTCCGAGAAGAAATGTCGAAAGGATAGAGACGGAGACTTTCCACGAGCTATATTCTCGAAGCTATCCACATCTAGTTGCAATACGGGCTTGTCGAGGTGTAACTTTACGGTAGGTTCGAAATAGTGAATGTGGACTGCCTGGTCGGCACCCCATGGCTCGCTACCATCTCGATTACGCGTAGCGAGCATCTGATAGCCTTCAATACAGCCTCGCCGTTCATCGTAACGGACGATAATTATTTGGCCGGTCAACTCGTGATCGCAAAACCATAGCTTGTGTTTCGTCAAAAACCAGTAGGGGTCGTGTGATATATAGAGCTCGCGCCAGCTTTGACAGGGATACGGGGAAGTAATACGATTTCCTGGAAGGTTCGATAGTACGTGCCGCCTCCACTGTGTATCGGAGTTTGCATGGTTTCGCAGCGCATGGCAGACGAGGGAGACGGTGGCGAGCTCTAGAGGAGCAAGCCAGGAAAATATCGCATCGATTAATTCGGAGGGAAGATTGAGGATAGGGCTTATATCGGAATCGCCGCTCGAAGACGAAAAGGCTGGGCTTGGGTCTGTTGGTAATTGTCAGCTAAGGGGTCTTGGAATCCGAGGTCCCATGCTAACGAAAAGAACATAATGCCGCCTATAGAACGGGGGCGTGGATTCACGAACCTCGGCTTGCCACGCTTGTACTACGTCGCTGTAGAGGAACGTCAAGGTCCTCGTCTAAATCGAAACCGAGCATCTTACGGCGATCCGCAGTATCGTACCGCAAATCATGATCGGGAACAGCCTTAACAATGAGGACATGCTCTTCAATTTCGGGGTTTAATCCTCCGTACGTGACAGCGGGATTATGTATATTCACCGTATAAGTCGAGGTCGACCCTGACGGCTCGTTGTCCGGTGCCGTGACATTGCTAGAGCTAGCCTCATCGGACGAAGTGGTCGCGGGCCTTGGGTGCCAGATACGCTCACGTCCTTCGTCGGACATTTTGACGACTCCCGCTGCGGGACCTAAGCGTACAGATGACAAGTCGGGGGTTCGAAGGATCCAATTGACAAGGATGATCGCCACGTGGTGGAGAGCTGAGGGGTTGAAAACCCAGAGTCGGTCGTGAAGAGAGAAGATTTAACGAGATCCGGATCGTGAATAATTTTAGACACACCAATTTTACTACAGCCTTTTTCTCGTTTATACCGGCGATGCTGACTCCTGGTCGCGCAAAGGTGACGAGCGTAGGGCGCTGTCTAAAGATTAAGAATAAGGAAGGAGATATCTCGTTATCATAATGACGGTAGGTCAATTATTTTGCAGATTTAAGCCCGACGTAGATGAAACAACTCATCTGTTCACATGTGAAGTGGACGTGGTTCCACGGCGACGGATAATAGTAGAGTTTGGAATTGGTAGAATCATCGAATTAATTGATAGGCTTGGCTGGCAAGGCACAATACCAAGATGTTATGTGGAGGGTGGAAAAGCTCGGAAGAGGGATTCCAATGGTTTATCAATACCGGTTATGTGCTGTCTATATGTATATCCAAGTTTCTCTGGGAGTTGTTCAGAATTGATCGAAGGAATCGGAACGGGGTCGGCTTATTGGGGGATAATGAAGTAAAGTACATGATTAGTCGACTTGATGTTTCGATTTAGGTCGATTATGACCTTGCCAACTTGCTACCTGTAATCGCGTTGACCCACCGGATTGGGACCGGGAAGGGCCCACCCATGCCACAAAGTAGACCCCACAACCCACAACTACCTAATCGCCCTAATTCGTAATTCTAGGCTTCTAATCGTTGTCATTACAGGGAACATGGGCGCTATAGCCGCACCTCTTAATACTATATTTTTGGCCCCATTGCTGTTTGGCATTTATTACTGATTAAAACCTCAAGTTCGTACCTGCTATTCTCATGCACGTTTTCCTTCATACGAGGCAGGCATGTTAGGTACCTCCTAACCTTCAATTAGATAGTGCCTACCTCATGTACTAACTCTAATATGCGCATCCCCCAATTTTGTTCCTCAGGTACCTATCCATCAAAATCACCTTCTGATCCTCACCGTCTTCAACATCATTACCAACACCACTTGCCAGATCAACTAGTCCCGAAAGAGCTATATTCCGCATCGCGACATACTTTACATGTTAAGTAGATTACCGCCCAAGAGTTTCTTGGTCCGGATATCCGTGAAAATGAATGATTCTATGGCATATCTCACGGTCGAAGATCCGTATCACACGCCATACCATCCTTTTCGCTCGGTTGTAACTTCAAGATGTGGCTAGTCCCCTAAGCCATTGGAACAATAATTTTATCCCCCATGCATTGTCTACCGAAAACTTACACACCAATACATCTCTCGTTACGTGAATCTAACCTTGCAGGATCCCCGATCTAGCTATGCCCTCGATCCCATTGGAACGGCTGCTCATTCCTCTCGTGGGAAAGAAAAAAAAGAGCCAGGGGGCCGTGAAAGGGAAACCAGCCATTATCGGATCACAGATCCAATTTGGTACGCTACACCTGACGATGCTACAATACATATCGGAGCCATCAACTAAAAGAATTCGAAAACTACAACTGCGATACAGCCCTTCTATGTTAGTAGTGCCTGTTGGTTATCGTTATCCCCCCGATCAGAGATCTGCGTGCCGCTGTGCAAAAGAAGAAGAGCCGAAAGAGTCGCCCTTCATATGCTTTACTGGTATAATAGGCCAATCACACGAGTCGCTATACCTTGTAAGGTTATAAGATGTACTTCCGATGGCAAACCGCCTTCCCTTCTAGTTATCAACTGGTGCTATGGGTAAGGATTCCTTTTCACGCAGGCATTTACCCGTCTATATTTCTCGATATTACCATGCAGGTCCAGACCAGAGCGCTCTTGGCTATAGATTTACTATGTCTAACCCCAAGATCTATTATGGATTGTCGCTTGGCTTTTTATAGATGTTTATACCGCATAGACCACCTGTGATCGGAGTGGTTTCTTGGCATGTGTGTTACGATGTTGCTAATATTAGGGCGACATCGCCGATGGTAGAACCCATTTGGGTGAAATTTGCGAAGCACGATTTCGCCTGAATGTAGGTCAAGTTTGCAAAGTTCACTTGCCAGACTTGCTTGGCACACTGAATACCGCTCTTGGCATTTGGCGACACGACTCTTGGTCATCTGCGTAAACGTCGGAGCCCTAAGTCCCCCGCCCATCTTGTCAGGGTATGGATGCAAATGCGACTCAATCTGTTATCAGCGACACTAACAAAAATCGGAATTTCCTTTCGCCTACGGAAATCCGTTCCCGTGATGCCATCGGCAGTCGTCTAGTATTGGAGTACTAGATTTGGAGAGCCGCTGCTATTTCTGTCGTGGCCGTCCCGACTTTTGAGCTTCCTCTTCGAGTCTACTTGATTACTAGTACAGCTAGGGGCCATATTGAAACCATAGGAATGTAGTCCGTGCGAATCAAGTATACAGAGATCGTCCCGCCTTCTCCGCTGTCCTCCACTGCTCCGCGGACCTGTCATCCTAATCATGCCAAGCACGAAGTACTATTTACCTAGTCGCAGCATCAAGCCGGTTGCCTAGCATTACGGGCTTTTTCTCTTCAGGGCTCCCCCCTGGATTTGACTAGGCCTATGAAGCCCGAGGCTACGGAACTCCTTGTCGTCCCTAAGCGATCGGGTCTCCTATTTTTGGCATTGATCTTATGCCTAAGCACCCTTGTGATTGTGGCTTGTGATTGTGGCTGCCGAGACCCGAGGCTAGATAGATGATGTGTTCGAGAGCGAATATCACTTCATTCTAATAAATCTGGTATCGGGTTGCCATATTTAATCCGGCAAAGTGATGATCCGTTCGTATGTTCTCTTTTGTTACGCGACTACTCTATTTATTCTACATGAGGCTGTTTAAAATAAGCCCTTGCCTCATGAGCTTTTTATAGTAACATATATGGTGTAGAGAAGGGGTTGTATATCAATAGTATTATGAACATAAGGTGATTGTGTTAAGGGTGTGACCCTGGATCTTAATGAGCCGATAGTTGCTCTTTTGCGCCTACCCCCCAGATATGAGACGAATATTCGCCATTACCCATCATATATGCGAAATAAGTCATCATGCCGTATCTTGTATAATCTTGTGTTAGAGGACGACGTAGAGGGCCTTGACCAATAACCATAAGCAGGAAGCAAGTTAGACTTAATGTTTTCCTTGATAAACGCTCTATTTCGGGGCCGGCGTATGACTTATGAGTAACTCAGTGTCATAGTCTGCTTGACAAGGTAAATTCGGGTAATTGCCACCCATTCACGAAACGTCAACCGCTCATTGTATCCGTCATCAATAAAATCCGTCATTAATAAACATAGCAGCTCGTGTATCCCAGATGGTGGAGTCTACGTGGTCCACTGTTTTAAGGCAATATGCACGGACCACATTGCATACGTATTTTCGTACCTAACCTGAATGTAGAGGGCAGACGTCAGGTAATTTCATCAATGTTAACTTAGACTAAAACTACTATAATCAACTCGACATCACATAACGTCAGCGAGATAAAAGCTATATTCAACCTTCTTCAACCTTTTTTATTAGCCTCGCTAGCCTTATATCGTTTATTTATCTGCTTTCAATCCTGATTTTGCAATCTATTAAAATTCATTAAAGCCTTACCCCTCAGCGGTCTACCATCATCAATCTATTGTCCCTTCTTTAAGTCCGTTTTCATCTAGTATAATCATCTTCAATAATACTACTCCATATGTGCGTCGTCCCAACTATTATAGGAGTTATGTCTGGATTCTTTTCCCTCCTTCCCGATCTGCTGCCGATGATACTACCTTCTGAGGTACAAATCACAAAAGCTTCTGATCTTGAGGCTCAAAGAGGCGGGAAGGATGCGCCCATGATTCGTCAGGGAGCCGTGATCGGCAAGAGTGATAGAATGTGTGCTACCGGTAAGCTACCTGTCTACCTGCCCAACTACTTCCCCTTTGTGCATATGCTGTGCGTCCTGTAGGATGCCATTATAGACAATAATCAGCCCTTGCCCAATTCCCAATTATGTAGTTATTCCGACCCTATGTCAGATTTATAGTAACATCGTCCATAGTCCTGATAGCCAAGCCCCGGTGTTCCTCGGCAGTACATCACCATGGGGAGCAAGGTAAGTCTTGGCTCTATCGCAAACGCGTCAAAAGTACTCTATCTGATATTTACATAGAGACTATCATCTACGCCGCCTCGGGCAAGGGAATGGTACGTATTAAAGGAATTTTTAACTTGAAGATATAAAACCTCCTTTCTACTATCTATGATCACTTATTATTACACGTAAATCATCTAGACTAACTTATTCGCAGTACGTAATTATGTTTTAATAGTCTCATGCTACTCTTCGGCTTTTCATCTCCAATAAATTTAAATACCCAGGGCCTACAGCAACAGCTGACAAATGATAGATTGGTGACTAGCTCTGGCGCTGACGAAGAACTTAAGAGACATGAGCTCTCTCCAGGCGATTTTGCTTTCATTCCACCTTGGACTGAACACCAAGAAATCAACGATACTGATGAAAATGTTGTATGGGTCCTTATCCGGAGTGGCCCAGAGCCTGTGGTGGTCTACTTGACGGGCTGGGGAGGCGACGAGGCAAAGGCCGATTCGATCGATTAAAGCTACTGTTAAGGCCATTCACATACAGCCAATTCAGCGAGTCTGTACGTGTAGGTCCGAAATACCAGGAACCTGGTAGCGCTTAAATCTTTAGCTCTATTACTTATTAATTATAGCGGCAATTTCCTGGGTGGCCATCTATTTTGTACAATGACGGCGTATTAAGCTGCAAAGTCGATCCTGTGCCTGCCTCGAGTCAAATACTTGAGCATGGTCTAACCCCGAGAACCAGAGCAGCTCGATCCCGTCGCGTGTGAGAAGACTATATCCCAGTCTATCCCGTTCCATAGGCTGCTCCTTAAGCCTGGCATCTCCTTTATCTGCGGGGTTAGGGGTGACCCATCCATCGCCATCAGCGCTCAAATATTGGGCAACCGCTGAAGTGTCGACAATCAAATCTCGTTCTGCAAGACACACCGCTACGTTTCTCCGCGGTCTTGCAGTATCCTGGCCCCCCTGATCACCCACACCACCTACTTCTGCAGGTAACCGTCCCGCCACTCCCAATAGCTCTTCCTTCCAAACAATATTGTCTTTCCAAAAGAAATGCCGTCCAAGGCAGTGCGCCACCCCAGGATCCATACTGGCAAAGTACCATAGCTGCCACTCGTTGGCCCCTTTAGGCCTGCGTCTAGTGAAGTTGTATGCTACATCTGGTAGATGCAACAAGATGGTCACGGGGTCGATTAGTACTACTGAAGCGATCCGGTCGGTCAGGTTTTCCGAGCGCAGCATGTGGGTTGCCAAGACGCTTCCATACGAATGAGATGCCAACACGAACCTGTCCCACCCGTGCGCAACCAGAATCGTAGCAACCTGCTTCAGGAATTCAGCCCTATCCAATGGCTCCTCCGTGAGCCGGAAGGACACTGGGAGAATCTCGATGGCGATAATCCCTATCTGTCCCTTTCCATCCTGTTCTTTTGATTGCGAGTTCAGTTGAGTGAGGAATGGCACGTACGGGTAAAGGCCGATACCGATACCGTGCAAGAACACGACGGGAAGTTTATCAGAAGCGGTATGTGGGCGGTGCCAATAAGTGAATCCATCTGACTCTGAATGCCTTTGGGCGACGAGGTCTTGTAAGCGCGGAGGGATGAGGGAGCGGGTCGTAGACGGCGAGTGAGCATGATAATGAAACCCGCTATGCGCTAATCGGCAATGCGACACAAAGTCGACCACTCCCACGAGAAAATACCACACAACACTTCTATATCGGGTTTCCACTTCGTCCAGAGTCAATCGGAGACTCTCAGCCTTCCCTCTTCCCGGTTCTAGCCTACGTCCCAGGCGCCCTTCGACAATTTCTATATACTCGTCTAGCTCTTCATCTTCCTCGTCGGACTCCTGGCCCGGCCTCTTATCAAGGAATGCCCAAAGAATAAAGTCGTGTACGTTGTCTCTCCGTATCTCGGACTCGTCTGCGCCAAGGAACCACATCTGGACATAGCGCCGGACGTCGGGCACGTTTGTGAAGCAGCGCTGGAATAGAGCACGACGCTCTTCACGTGAGTGCTGTGGTGGATGGATTGCTTCGTTCTTTAACCGCCGATTGTGCGGGATGTAGATCAGAATAGCGTACAGCACGTCAGCGATGCAGTAGAGAAGTAGCACTATGCCCAGAGGATGGGATAGCACCGCTGCAAGAGACCAGCTAAGAGTCGCTGCCAAGAGGACCAGACATAGTACGCAGAGCAGCGATGTATACTGCAGCATAAATATGCATATACGGATGAAGATGTACTCCGGTATCGACGTGCCAATCATAACGGCGGCGGTTACGGCTTTGGGCAAGCCGGGAACCAGTTTATGATATGTAGGGTGTATCGGTCTCTTTACCACTTCTTGTCTCCTCCCTTCTTCGCTCTTAGTAAACTTCGATAAATACCTATGTAGGTAGATAGGTAGATGATGAATGAGACGAGAACCTTGGTCCCTCTGATGTCGGCGCTATTCTAGTTAGTCGATATTTACCCAACAAAATTACAATTTATGTAAACAGGACCGTTCTCGCTTCAACTTCAACAATTATGACTATATTAATGTTTTTTTCCTAAATGAGAGAAACTCGCTCAATAGCTTCCTAAGATGGAAGGCCTCGAGATTACTTATTTAGTAGGGTTGTCTGCTTAGCAAGTATTCTCGTTCGTTCGTTTGTTGCTTGGCAGACCTGTTTTTTTTGCTGGGAAACTTAATGATAACTCGAGTGACGTTGCTGCCCCGCTTTAATCGGATACCCTTGCAATGTTACACAAGAAGAGATGTGGCTGATGGTTTTTGATTGTGGCTACACTAATAATGATTACATAATGTGACTCGGTACCTAGATACACCGAGTAGCTTAAAGGGCAAAAAGGGGGCCCCTAACCCCTTTAAGTGGATGGCCAGCTTACCAGCTTAGGATCAAATAACATAGAGGAGTTCCAGCAATGTACGAGCTAAGACATGAGTTCTGAGTTTTAATTCTATTCAAAATGCTGCTTTGTCAACCAGGACTAATTACTGAGATTTGAGCTAATAATGAACCTGTTTGCGTCCAAGGGAAATCCAAGTTAAAAATGATGCGTATAGATTACAAACACACGTTTCCAACTGTAGATTCTTCAACTATAGAACACTTTACATTAACGAGGGGGTTATTATTATTTTTTTCATAGTGTAACCGTTAATATTAAATATAAAAGTACTTAACTTAAACGGTTTTTGTTTTTCCATCGGGCATTCAATATTTCAAGTATTACCTAGCAATTAAAAATTTACATCAGTTATATTTACTTACTTATATTCCGTACATAGGCTAACATAGTAAAAAGAACGTCAAGATTAGCACACGTAGCTTTAAAACGATATAGCTTTATTTGGTTTGTGAAGTTTTATTTGTCCTGTTACTTTTTATCTTTGTACTTAGCAAGTGCCGATAAATTTGGATCACTGGGCATGCTTTATAGATCTTAGCACCCAACTACATTTTCTAATGGTAGGTACCTCAATATTCTCCTGTAATGTAAATTCTTTAAAAGCTGCTGTATCAAAATGCCAATCTTTGTGAAGTTACAAGAATCATCACCATGCCTTTTCGATCCAAACCACATTTTCTCAAGGTAAAACCAACGCCAAATTCACATGGGAAGTGAATAAAAGATCACCGTTTACTTCTTCAATATAAAGGTTCCGTAAAAGAGGCTACTTACGTTTAGATTTAGTCTCAGTTGTTTGGGAGGACTTCCGTATGTGTTTCGATGAGGCTTGCCAAAGTTATTACATTACAACCACCGACAAGTTGATATGCCAATGTGCAAGAACCGTCTGTCCATAGCCCTTTTATCATCAATCAAACTTGAGTTAGTAGGAGACTGGAATCTCCAATATTGGAGTTCCTTACGCGTACTTAGGAACAATATGTTTTCCCACCTTGCGTTCTGGCAAGGGTACGATGGATAGCATACCACAGTACTGACACAAGACATGAAACACTACGAGGTAATCAGTAAAGGGAGCGTGTAATTGAAGGATATGGTCTACATTTTGAAGGCTACTGCCTGCCCCGCGTAGAACCTCCGTGATGATATTACCAGCCATTGCTAAAGACCACTTGTTACAATACAATACCTTATATGAATGATTTGACACACCCCGTTTGTGAAATTTCTACCATTGGTCCTAGGTTCTAACTGGATTATCTCAGATGCCCTTAGATCAGTGTAACTAGGCCAATTGATCATGTGTAGCACGGGGGTCCGCTTATATTTGATCTTAGCACGAACTTGGTACTGATTAGTCGTCCAAGTGATTGTACCCAATGGTGTTTTGCGCATAAAATAAAACTTCAAATCGATGCCTGGTGACTGATTCTCATACAACATGTTACTAAGTACCTGGAGTGATTTTGTCAGAGGGATGCTTAGATAAATATCTATGGTCCTTTCCTTCCTCTAACAACATTTCTTCTACCAAGATATCTTCACCTTGCCACTTCCTCCTCTGTCATTTCGGAGCAAGACAGAGGCGGACCGGCGTTTATTAACATCCGAAGTCTGATAACCCAATTACTTTCTTTTTACACGTCACCTGGTTTCAATCTTGGTATCTTCTTCCACCCCAAAACCACCTAACTCGACTTGTGTTTATCCATCCACCGGCCTTCACTCTTGTGGGAATTACATCCACAAACAGCTTCCTTTTCTTTCTTTTCTTTATTTTCAATCCTAAAGTACATGAAATCACAGGGTTTCGACCTTTTTCAATATCTGTAGGCTTTACGGGGCCTTTACACTTTCATCACTTTGTCGTCATCTTACCATCCTCATCATTCAACACACTTTACGATTATTACTTGTCAACTTAGGTGGCCTTTGATTTCCATTCAATCACCTTACATCCTCGTTACTTCATCGAGTCTTCAATTAGGGAACTTTTCGATACAATTGTACAGACATTCGATCGCCGAAAATGGAATCCGAAACAGCGATCATGCCTCAAGCGGAGCCTCAGGTTGAGCCTCAGGTCGAGCTTCACACGGATCTCATTATCGCCAACAAGGGTACCTCGAAGGGACTTACAGGAATGCCGGTCGAGTTGATTCTCGACATCGCGAAGTACATGAGCCAATCCAGTAAGGCTCGTCTAGCCCAGACTTGTCGCTGCCTCTCAACCTTGATGGAGAAACCTCTACACGATCAGGATAGCAAAGAGGATCGACATGCACTTTGGTGGGCTTGCGTGAATAACGAACATAAACTTCTACGACGCATCCTCAACTCTGACTTGAGCCTTGTTAACTACCGCTTTCAAAAGGCCCATACTCTCAATCTCAAACTTGTACCCTCCACCCAACAACACCTACTGAGGGTTTGCGCCCAACATAAAGGCGCTGATTTCAGCATTCATCTGACCCCTCTCACGGTAGCCATTCGATTTGGAAGTTTCAATTGTTTCACTACTCTACTCAAATGGAATGCAGACGTGAACGATGCCGTCCCCTCCAATGGCATGGGTCCTGGGAAGCTTTGGCAACCCATCCACTGGGCGGTTCGCCTAACCAAGAGCGGTAGAGACTTTGAAGACTGTGTCCGTCTTCTGATCGAGCATGGCGCCAACATTAATCAAGCTCCTGGATTGTCCGGATCAACTGGAATGTTTGGAGGTGGTATTCCTCTACATGAGGTGATCGACTTTCAGCCCTATTTCCGAAAAGACCGGTCGGAGCCCCGTTCAGACGCTGTATACGAAACTCAACTAAAGATGCGCGTCAGTAAGGCCAAAGCACTCCTTAAATTCGGAGCGGACCCTAATATTGGGGGAAATATCAGTGAAACTCCGATCTTCAAGGCGGCACAATCTTTAGCTTCCTACGACCCGAACTCCCCGTTCGTAAACCAGATTGTGTTTCGTTACGATGTTAAGCGCGTCTACGAAGAAGTTGTAGTGGCCAATGCCTTGCAGCTTTTCAAAGCCTTGATTAAACATGGCGGAAACCCGAATATTTCCTGCCGTGGCACCACCGCCCTGCATCTCCTATGCAAACGCAGCCGAGAGTATAGGCCCCTGATCTATTACCTCTTACAGGCAGGAGCTCGGATCAATGCTTCCGACGCAGATGGCCGCACCCCTATTTACGAATACGTGATGTACCCTCGTCATTACACACTACTAATCGAATTCATTAAGCGAGGTGCGAATGTTAACCATCGCGATTCCAAGGGCCGCACCCCGCTACACGTAGCCTGCGCCGACTATAATATGTGCCACTCAAAGCTTCAAGATACTGTTAGGGCACTAATTGAGAACGGGGCCAATACTCTTCTGGTTGACAACGAAGGCAAGACCCCGCTTCAGCTTCTTGACACACGAAGGATCCCGACCTCTCTCGAAACCCGAAGGATTCTCCTCAAGGCATCTGGAATTGATGTGAGAGGTTGGGGAGATGATCAATACGAGGACGATGCCGATTGGGGTTCATATTGACGACTAGGGACATAGTCAAGATCGTTCATGGGGAAAGGACTAGTAACAAGGGGGGGATTCCGAATTAGCGCCGCGGCGATCTAACTGTGATGGGTGAAAAAGCAAATATCACGAGGTGGCAAAAGCCCAAGACGCAGACATAGAGATCATCAGAAGAGCAATCAAGATCTCATATACGGAGGGGAGATAAAAGGAGAAAAAAAAAAAAAAAGAAAAAAAAAAGAAAAAAAGGGGAGAAAAGGAGAAAAAAAGGGGAAGAAAGCAGATTTGAACAGACGATAAGGAAGGAGGGAGGGGTCTGATACTCAAGTCACCAATAACCCCAAATGTTGATGGGAATCGCGTTGGCAACCATGTCACCAGGGGACTCGTGCTTCTGTTTGCTGTTTCCTTCTTGTTTTCCCTTTGGCATGCAGTACGTTGGAAGTTGGAGGTTGGAAGTTGGAAGCTTGAAGTTGAAGTTTGAAGTTTGAAGTTTGAAGTTCGAAGTTTGAAAATCGTCGTCGACAAGGGCATGACTGTAATGTTGGAGGGTCAGCTCGAATTTCTCATGTTTCATGTTTTGATAGATACCTACTGGCTCGACTTTGCATTAGGCATTTGCCTCGAAAATTTCGTGTTCCTTAATGGCCTATACGGCACGATTGTCTGCTTGCTCTCATTGCAGCTATGTATTGCAATTGTGATAGTTTGAACTACTTTTTGGCACTCAAATTGACTATGGTTTGAAGATAGAACTAATAATTTGCCTTTGACTACCTACCTAAACTATATCGTAGGGTAGTGGTCGTATTGACTACTAACTGCGCTTTCGTGATGGTGATTATTGAGGTAGACGCAGAATATGGGATATAAAACTGCCATAACTACGAGGCTCAGTGGAAAGGATAAGGTAGGATGGTGTTCTTGTTACCATTCTTTGTGGCAGTGCTTCTAGGAAGCATCTGTATTTAAATCATTAGAGTCAACCTCACTCCTGATGCTCTTCGTACCCTTTCCATTCGCCGGATTGGCGTTACTGTTTAAATCATCTCTACCTAGGTACGTATCATTTCCCAGACTTTGAGTATGATCTTATCTAGTCATTCATTCTACAGCTATCAATCTAAGCCTGATATCTAACCAATACTCAAGGGAAAGACTCCATGCCTTCCTGACGAACACCTTATTGTTACTTAATTGCCACCTCGACTCGTATTGTTACTGTTTACCTAAAATCAAGACCAGCGAGTTCGATAAGTCAAGTCAGGTCAGGTATATTAGCTTTAGCCACAGTAAATTTACCAATTACGTACTTGGTATTGTGATTCCCTAGATTATGGTGACATCGTTGTTATTGATTTTTGTTTGGGATTACAGGATTAGGATCTGTCCGATATACATATAAAGCCTAATAGAATAAAATCTATTACCAAATAACCTTTTAGTGGTATAGTTTAACAGGATCTAGCTACTGTTTATATATGCGTAGATATGCAGGCAGCGACTGCCTCATTACATTGAGTACCTGAGTCGCTGTTGCTAGGGATCCACGGTATTATCAAAGATATACGTACATCTTGAATGTATGTGCCTGTTACAAAAATAAAAAATATTCAATTGACTCGTCGAACTCGCTGAGATTCAAGACCCAACCAGTACTATACTTAAACGTACCTAAGTATAGGTTCGTCACAGGTACTATTTTAGCAGCACAAGGAGTCCTGCACAACAATGGCGAACCAAGCCAACTCACTTCCAGTGGTAATATACAGGAAAGGAATATCTGCCGAGGGATTCGAAGAGTTTCTTCGGGAACAATACCAAGGGGTCGGAAAGCATGTCGATGATATATTAACCCTACTCTATAGTCAAGGTCTACTGCAAGAGGCTAGTTGCTATTACTGGCAATCATTCTGGAAACTTATGCTGCATCTCTTCGGATGTAGCCCGTGGGACTTGACGACTTGGGGTTTACGAATTCACAGTGAATGTAAATCCCCAGTTATGAAGGAACTAAACCAACTCCTTCCACACCCTATTTGGGAAGGAAACGTCGACATCTTACGATACGTCCTCCAGAAAACAGTACTCTGTCGATTGGGGGCAGATATAGAGCCACTAGGACCCTTGGCAGCAGGCATTGCAGATGTCTTGATCTCGAGAAGGAATCCCGATGCAACTGACATGGCGCTGGAAATGTGGGCAAGTACCGGCCCTGCTACCAACAGCAATGTGATGTATCTACTCGAGCTACTATCTACAATGCCAGAGCACTCTAAACAACAACAGCCATGGTCTACCAAGCCCTTTGTGCTCATACCACGCGATGTCAGTGTCATTCGTTAGTTACTAGACACTTACTTCACCGATAACCTGGTACCATTCACAGTTCAGGAATACTATGACGCTTTCGTCAAACGAGAGATGTGGCCCCGTGGCCTAGCTACCGTCGACACTAAAACGATAGAACGGTGGGATAAAACAATGCTTGCAATCAAAAACCGCGATTACCTCTTAGGAGAGCCAGACACCCGCGTTGGAAAAGAAAGAGAACGGCACAAGGCTTTAGCATACTGGGAGAGCCCAAACTGCCACCCGGGACTTAAAGAACTGGTATCAATGAACACTATCCCGTATATTTTCACTAAGTGAAATCAGATTATATCGACTCCGCCGTATCATATATTTGGCGAGAAGTACTCATACAATGAGCTCCTATGGCCTTCAACGCTGTACGCAAGGCCACTATTAGCTTAGATCCATCACAGAAAGGTCACAAGCAACAGCCAATATACTATTGTTATTAAAAGCCCAAGTTCTACATACCTGGATCTTCATCGTAGAGTAGCTCTTCTTCACGTTTAGTTTAACTCTAGGATGTTGTCGTAATCCATTCAGACATACATACTTCGTACCTAGAGGCCAATCTGCTCCAGGAAACTATGTATTGATCGAAGTGTACCTAATAAGTGATTCGTAAGGTCCTTGGAGGTTGGCTATTCCCTATGTAGGTACCTAGTTACAAAGAAGGGTCAGCGTTGCAGACCGGCATTTCAAAAAAATCCTGGTGCCATAGCCCTACACCCGGAGAAGGCTTCAGTGCATCGTCCTTCCCGCAGAATATATCGTATCCGGGCTCGGGAGAATCACTCGTTCCGTCTGATTCTCCGGGATGCTTCACCCATACGAACGCGTCGAGCTTCTCGTCATCCGTCTGCGACGTGGACCGGATTCCGAAACCGGCGCCGTTGATATTACACCGGTCATCCCAAGTATAACTCAGCCCAAACACGCCATTTCAACTGGTATCCATGATTGCATGTGTCGCGCTTGTGGGGAGGCCGTTCTTCTGCAGAGCGTCGGAGAGGATGCCGATGAAATGCTGCTCGTTCTGTGGCCTGATGTATCGTGAATCGTCGCCGGTGACGAATTCGCCGGATAAAAGGTCCCTTAAAATGAGCCAAATTCTCCTCACAGCTATATAGCAACCGGAATATATATGGTATCGGTCTAAATAACCATACCAGGAATTGAAGTTTGCTACGTTAGTCGCGAAGCCCCTGAATTAAGACGGGTTTCCTCCAGCGTTGTAGATGTCTATGACCTCCTTAGCGGTAACGTTTCGTTTGAGGTCCCAATCCATTGAGTCACTATTGCCGACATCTAGATACGTGATCACGTTGGGCAAATTAAACGTCTTAAGGGCGTAAGGGATATTTTCTCGATAGCTCTTGGCGAGCTCGTGGCTTGCGCCCGTGCCGTTGAAGTAGTTCTGAAATGCTCGTGGCTCTCACAACTATAGCGAAAGACGCGTTGGGGGACGTATTTATGGCCTCTACTATTACTATTCACAATGTCAATTCCTTTCTTACAACCCTAAGGTAGGCATCTAGGTATACTCAAGCTCAATGTAACCCTGGTATTCCGCCAGAGTTCCCTGGTCGAATCTGGCATCTGTTGACTCTGATTCGTAGGACTATTCAAAGGAAATATAGAAACATTAACTGTGTAGTATACTCTAGAATGATTTCCCAGCTACTGCAATTATATATTTTGCTTCTTTTTCTTCTGATATACCTGTGATACCCCTTTTTATATCTCTTAATGATTTTAATATTGAACTGACATATCGACTTAAAGCACCGCAGTTCATGTCTTTGTCATATGAAAACCTCTCCGTGACCGGCACAAGGGGGAAGTGGATTAGAGTATAAAGACGTGCTAATAATTGTGCAATATTAATTAGAAATAATAGGAGTATTTGGAGCAAAAGATATCTTAACTGGCAATATTCACTTTAAGTGTCAAGTTCGTATATTATTACCGGAACACATTTTAAACTTTGGATCTCGATCGGTCCCGGACCGATCCCTGCTCGACCGACCCATAGAAATGACCGAGGTGCAAAGTTGATAAATTGCAAGACCGCGAGATCCGGCCGGTTCGGTACGGGGTGCCGTAGAACGCGTACATGATCGGCACCGAACACGGGTCTGCCCATGGTTTACCATCAATCATAGACGCGTCACCTCGTTTCATTCGAATGGGTTTTGTGATCGGATATTCGCAAGGAACTTGACTCCATGAAGATGATGATATGAAAGATATAGGTTTATCGCCAGACATGGGGTGGAGGTCGTTCGGCAATTTCCAATCTAATAGCTAGTTGAACAATACTCCCGAGGCGGGGGCTCGCAACGCCGAAATCTCCGGTAGATGTATGATATAAAACAATATTAATACTATTGTTGCCCTATCAGAGTGACAATTGGCAAGTTAAGGCTCTATATCCTTACAGCATAAACTGATTGAAGATGGCCGTTTCTGAGAAAGTCAACCTTGGCCGCATCTCGTACGTAATTTACGAGCACCCGGACCTTACGAAATTCTTGGCGTTCGCCGATGACTTCGGCTTCGAGTCTACGGGTGTCACTGATGAAGACGGGAATCTCTTTCTGCGGGGCTATGGACCGGATCCATATGTCTATGTCGCTCGCCAGGCGCCCACAGGCCAAGCTAAGAGGTTCCTTGGAGCCGGATTCACAGCGCGGACTAAGGAGGACTTCGAAAGGGCATGCGGATTGGAAAAAGCTCAACTGAAGGATATCTCGAAGCGACCAGGTGGAGGGAAGATGGTTAGCGTTCCTGACGTGAACGGGTTTGAAATTCAAGTTGTATATGACCAGAAGGACAGAGTCGTGCCGGATAGGGGGCTGTCAAATGTTGTTAGTGGACAACCGAATGTGAACGGAGCCATAATGAAAGCGAGAAAAGGTAAGCTAGAGATCTCTTGTAAATGGTCTTTCTAGTGAGATGCGACCCTACGGCTAAGGTATATTAACATTTTCTTCGAAATAGGTGTTTTCAATCGCTTGGACAGTGGTCCAGCCAAGATCCACAAGCTCGGTCACTTCGGCTATATGACCGATAACTACACTAAGACTTGTGCTTGGTACTCTACTCACTTCAACTTCAAGTCGACTGATATCGTTCACGTACCTGGGGACCCGTCCGAGGAGATTATGAACTTCTTCCACCTTGATCTCGGCCCCGAATACTCAGACCATCACTGCCTACTAGTGGCAGCTCACCACGAAAATGGCAAGGGAACAACCGTTCACCACTCGTCGTTTGAGGTAGAGGATATAGACACGCAGATGATGGGCCACGAATGGCTTCAAGATAAAGGCTATAGGCTAATGTGGGGTGTAGGGAGACATATTATGGGATCGCAGGTCTTTGACTATTGGTATGATTCTACGGGTTTTATAGTAGAGCACTACGCAGATGGTGATGTGGTTAATCAAGACACACCAACATCGAGGCTTGCGGGAGCTGCAGCTTCCATCTGGGGTCCTCCTGTCCCAGTGAAGTGGCATTAATGCATCGAATTCTACATCTATGCAGACGTAGACTGTTTAGATAGGTACATACCTACCTCTCAAGAAAAGGGGTTCAGGAAATAACCAATCATATATATTAGTTAGATACGACGATAACACTTAGGTAGCCTTATTAACTACTATGGTACGAAGCAATAAAGCATTGCCCTCCAAGCTAAGTAGTATCTACTGAGGTCCTATAGTTACCTATATATGTATCTTAGCTAAGGAGTATTCACGCCTCGGGATAACCGGGTACAATCCCATGTGTCATGACCACTCAAGCCAGGAATGAAGGGATTGCCGTATCCATCTCTTGGCGGCGAATGGTCCCTTAACTCCGATCAGCGGCATCTGACTCACTTGACACACCTTACGCTCTACCACGGTTCCACGATGATGAAGAAGGCATAACCCAGGATATAGGCCAGCCGGCTGACAATCCGTGATGGGGAGTCCTAGATATATCTTGGCAAACGTACGGATGACGTATATGGGAATTAATTGTCTCGACCTTCGAGTCTCACTTGAGGTTCCGTAAGATTGTGGAGAAATTTGCATTCATAGGATGCGAGCGGGGAGCTGACGGGCTTTGGTTGACGGACCGGACTTACTCCATTTCGGTAATTTCGGTGCCTCAGCCCCGTGGCGGTTGTCTTGAAGCCGAGTATTTGGAATACTGGAAGATGATATGTACTGGCTATATGAAAGAAGAGGAATCCATTTAAAGCCGTCTCATCTCTAACGTTTTATCGAACCAGACATAACGCGCTTCAAGTTACGTAGCTACCTAACTCAATCTATATCTATTAGGAAATTTAGCAACACATTGGAAAAACTCGCATTCGATGGAGGGCATAATATCTTTCGACAAGTTTTATAACGTAAGTCACCTGAATGCGAATTCGAAGCATTACTTTGGATCTGGATCTAACATTCAACAGATTGTCAACAATTCAAGGGCGCTAAGTGACAAGACATATCATGGGATCGATCCAAGCACAGGAAAAGCTCTTTGGGGGGCTCCAATAGCCACAGAGGATGACCTCAATGAAGCTGTGGTGGCCGCTAATAGTGCCTTCAAGAAATGGTCTTCGCTACAGCAGCACGAAAGATCCCGGTTCATGAAAGGTCTCGCTGATGGCCTAGAGAAGCACAAGGATGAGCTGATCGAATTACTTGGCAAGGAAAGCGGCAAATCGGTATGGGGTTCTCCAATATTACTACCTCTACATGCGCTAACTCCCCGCGTTAGGTATCCTTTGCGGAGTCGGAGGTTGTGATGGGTATCAATACTATGAGACGGCATGGTAAGTTTTCCGCTCAACCTCAGCGTTAGACTTCGAGACCTGACTACTTGCAGCGGATTGGTCGGTTCCCGATCAGCTCTTGAAAGATACAGAGGACGTACGAATTGTTGTCCAACATGTACCTATTGGTGTAGTCGCAGGAATTACGCCATGGAACTATCCCTTCCAGCTAGCCATTCTCAAGATTGCTCCAGCGCTAGCAACTGGTTGCACAGTCATACTGAAGCCTTCGTGAGTACCGAACCGGGAAGTTGACTTAAGATTCATGTCTAACGGCTTACAGTCCTTTCACGCCTTATACCGCTCTCAAGATAGCCGAAATCGCGGCTGAGGTTCTTCCACCTGGCGTGGTACAGGCTCTAGGGGGTGACGATAACCTCGGCCCTTGGATGACGAGACATCCTGGAATCCACAAGATTTCATTTACCGGGTCTACGGCTACCGGCAAGAAGATTATGGCTGTGGCATCTGAAACGTTGAAAAGGGTAAACTTGGAACTGTATGCTATCCTATTGCTGAAGTCAACTTAGCAATATGTAACGAACGCTGACGGGTTATTAGGGGTGGTAATGATGCAGCGGTAATAACCGAGGACTTTGACGTCCTTGAGGCGGCGCAGCTAGTAGCAATGGCGACATTCGCACACTCCGGTCAGATTTGCATGGCTACAAAGCGCATTTACGTCCACGAGTCCGTCTACGACGAGTTTATGGAGCATCTTGTAGAGATTGTGAAGGGTTACAAGCCAGGTGAGGGCTTCTGCAGCCCAATCCAGAACAAGATGCAGTTCGAAAAAGTCAAATCGATCTACGACGAGTGCGAAAAGCAGGGGTTCAACTTTGCCGTTGGCGGCGGTAGCAAAGTGTCTGTGGACGACAACAGACCGGGGTATTTCATAGCACCGGCCATCGTGGCCAACCCGCCGGAAAAGTCGCGCATCGTGCAGGAGGAGCCCTTTGGGCCTATCGTCCCGGTGTTGACTTGGCGTGACGATAAGGAGGTGATAGATCGCGTAAACGACACTCCTACGGGTCTAGGGGCTACAATTTACTGCCGTGACGAGAAACGCGCTTGGCAACTTTCCGAAAGTCTTGAGACTGGGAGCGTCTGGGTCAATAGCGGATTGAAACTGGACCCGGTCGCGCTATTCGGTGCGCACAAGCAGAGCGGTATTGGCGGCGAGCTGGGGCCGCTCGGACTGAAGTACTACACGAATACGCGGACAATCACGTACTGGAAGGATGCGCCGAAGGCACCGCGAGGAAATGGCAATAAAGGTCTATTTGCGTGAATCAAAGTGATCCGTTCCGACAATGTAGTGTATCTCTCAAGTTATTATGGTATGAGGGGATAGTGAGGGTATTGTCAGATATGACTATCTGTCCGATATATAAAACATAATAGAATAAAATCTATTACCAAATAACCTTTTAGTGGTATAGCGGTTTGTTCGACAGGTATCTAGGTTAGGAGGTAGTTAATACAATCCTTTCACTAACTTATGCAGACATTAATCTCTGCAGAGTCATCGCCATCTTGGTGCAACATGGCCAATGCATAGTCTCAAGCTCCATCTTGAATGCCAGCAATACCCTTCTACTCCCGTATGTATCCCTGTCGCCCCCTGTACTGAAGCTGACTTTCGCCCAGACCACAAGGGCAGCGTGGAATACAATTATTGGCATCCAAGCTTGACACAAGATTCCGTCTGATTTTTGGCATGCGGCTACGACGTCGAGTAAGGCCCAGGCATGATCTAGTGACTGGCTCGATATATCGATAGTATTCGTAGCAGCCGCAGCGCTAGCCAGGATCTGGTGTTGGTTCGATGATATATCATATTGGGCCAGTCGTGAAAGACTGGAAATTTCCGGACAGGAGAGATATAGTCTGCAGTAATGGAAGAATGCTATCACATCAGGGCTCATGGAACCACTGAAATTAATATACCATTGATCCAGTGCTTTAGAAAGCCGACTTTGCATACGCTCGAGTTCCGTATGGGCGGAAAGGGGGACAAAAGGGTTGTGTTTATACGAGGTTATTTGAACCGAGTTAATGACATTGGCAGCGCTTCCAAGGGTCCGACGTAGGGTAATAGAGTCGGAGAGGATAGCAAGAAGTAGGAGGATAGCTTGCTCCCTCGAACTGGCGCCCATTGTCGAGAGAAGGGTTTGACCCTCTACGCTAGGACCCTGTAGGAGATTCCGGTAGACGTCCTGAAACGGAATGTTCGAGGAAGGCATATTCGTCGATATTTCGTCAGGCGAGAAATTCAGGGACAAGTTTGAGTGAACGGCCTGCAGAACGTCCCATAACCAAAGTAACCAAAGCATAGGACTTTTCTCGAGTAGTATCATCAGTTACAGGCGCACATATCAGCAGTCGCAAGCGGCGTACCTATATGATAATATTCGCTGTTGAATGCCTGGATCTAACCGTCCTGGATTATGCAACTGCATACGACGAGCAATCTAAAAGCGGGAGATGAGCTAAGTTAACCATGTGATCTAGTCCTGTACTCACTGTTAGAGATGAAGATATAATAAGCGCGGATCTTCTCTGAAGAGGTTCCTCAGCGGCTAGTACACCATATGGTATGAGAAGAGCAGCCTGTAGCCACGTGAGTAGATGAGCTCCAGGAATCTGAAAGAATTACCCACCGCTAAAAGCATTTCAATTGATCTGGCAAGCCCATTATCTACTTCCACCATAACTGGCCAGAGACTTGCACCAGCCTGATAGATGCTCCGACCTTCTTCGGCATCACCACCGCTACACACCGAGCCAAGACAAGCGATAGCAAATCGTAAGGGCGGGGCAAGTGGTTCCCGGGCTACGGCCGACACGGGAAGTTGTCTAAAGAAGACATGGTCTAAACAGCCATTATAAAAAGCCCGAGATAAATGGGACAGACGGTCATCTGCTGGCAATCTCGGAAAGCGTGATAGGAGAGCTACGGGGTACGTGTACTTCTTCGTCGGAGTCTCCTATTTCTGTTAGGAATCGACGTACGAAATGATAGTAACTAGGATATATATTATAGATAGGTTAGGTAGGTACATAAATATGGTTCCTAAGGTCCATGTGGAAGAGTTTCTCTGTTCCAATCGCATCGCTACTAGCTAGCAAGGCTCTCTTAAAGTCGGATAGGAGAGTGGGATCAGGGCGTTCACTGGCCGAGGCGACATCCTGATGAGAAGGGTCACGCTCTCCGGGCCAGCTCGAACTCTGCGCGCTGGTTACCATGTCCGAAGTTAGTTATTGGCTTAAGTTGAAAAGATTATGAAGTTGAGTATTTTCAATTCAATAATAGGGGCTAGTATTATCTTTAAGGTAGGACTTGGCTTACCTTAGGTAATTCATAATACCCGAGATGGGGTAAATTTGGTGCAAGGCGCCGGGTGCTGATCTTAATCATCAACTACTATGTAGCAACCAAGACAAATTAAAGACAGTAGGGATTAGGGCGACGAGGGGTCAGGCGCGGGGAAGCTTTAGTAGATTTCATTGGATACCTAGAGAGTGTTTAAAAATTAGACCAAAGTTGGACTAAGAATATCAATCTTCAACTTTAGCAAGTCGGATGTTATATGTCATGCTAACATTACGTGGCTTATAACAGGTATGTAATCAAAGTGTCACTTGTACAATATGATTTGGAATACTTGCCTGTCTTACAGTGAAAAGAGAAAGCGGTGAGCTTACGGTATGTGGCTTAGATATAGGCTATGAAGAATAGTGTAAATAGTGTAAAGGTAGGGTAGTCCCGCCTACTATGTATGTTGGTAGTTTATATGATGGGTATCCGTTTCTTCAACCCTGAAAGCAAAAATTAAGAAACAAGGGGGTAGCGAACAGCGCCAACTAATACAGGTTTAAAAAATATCTACATAATAAAATACAGCATATAACCACATCGCTGTTATATTAGTAACGACTTATTATCCTATGTAAGAAAGGTAAGTAAGAATAAGCAGTCCTTAAGAACTCTTGGAATTAGAAGTGGTAGTCTGCGCCCTCTCAGCCTCTAAGATGAGCCCAGTGGAACTAATTCTAATCCCTGTTAACATAAAGCAACATAGCATTCGCGACAACTGCGGAGATAAGCCCTGTTTATATTCTCTGTCCCCTGTTAAGATATTAGTCTCAGTTCCCCAGATTATTTAACTACCTAGCTTTTGTCTAGACCTGTTTTTGTGCGGGACATCTTCGAGGTATAATAATAAAAAAAGCCTATTGTATTGAATGGGATAAATCCTACGCACATCTATGAAGCCGAGCTGCTCAAACTCGTGTCTGTGATGGCGCAGTGCGATATCTGCGGGCGTTCCTTCGCGCGAAATGAGCATCTTATTCGACACCACAGAACTCGTGAGTCGTTGTGTATAGCTGCCTCTAAAGAGCGAGTTCGCTGACACGCGTGGCCACGGGCAGACACAGGTGAGCGACCATTTCGCTGCCCTCACTGTAAAATCGGGTTTCATCGCGCCGATGTTAGGGCGAAACATATCAAGAAGATTCATCCCGAGAATGGATCGCCGTCAGAATCTTCGGATCCTCTCTCACAGCCTCCAGTCGAGAGGTGTAAACCTAAAGAAAGAGAACGTTCAAAGTTAGCATGCGACCAATGTCGAAAGCGAAAGCTGAAGTGCAACAATGTCCGGCCATGTGAAGCATGTCGCGCCAAGATGCTGCCTTGCACAGTCTCGAGCTCTAGCAGGCCGCCCGGTAGACCTCGCAATCCCGTACTTATTTCCCCAAGTCAAGAAATTATCCGTGAAAAAGAAGCAGATAATTCCGGCGTGCCTCCGGTTTCCCAGCCTTGGGTGCCGGACAACCTTGAGTTACCCCTGGTCCGATCCAATCTTATGCCCGGAATTCCTGGAATTGGCGTACCGGACACTAGAGATGACGATGGCGCATATCCGGGTGCTACAGATTTAACATCATTAGGCATGGACCAATGGATGACTCCAGAGACGACGGGAAATTTCTCAATACACGCTCCGTTCCCAAGCGAATCAATACCAATTGACCAAATATGCGGCGACGCGGACATGATGGACAATATACTCCCTCAACTCGTTAGTCACGTGTCCCTTTATCAATCACCTTTGCCAATGCTAACACTTTCGACTACTTCGTAGGACCTAGGGAATTGGTTGGATGACCTTAACGAATTCTCCGCAACAGATGACACATGGCCACTGGACTCCCTATCATCCAACATCGATTCTGATCCTTCTATGGACGGCGCTGTTGAGATGATGAAAGATCACTTTCAGAGGCGATCACGAGCAACATCTCCTTCTCGAGAGGAACAGAGACGTTCTTGGTATTCTGCTCCACCACAACTCTACGTTTACGATAAAGATGTCCTTAACATCCTTCTTAATGTTTCCAAGACACACATTTCAAGCACGTTTGCTATATTTTCTGATTTCGATGCGAATTATGATACCCCGGTAGAGCTCTGCCTTTCTATGGCTGCTGTTGGTGGTCTCTATTGTACTGCATATGCCAGCATGAAAGTCGCCAAGATGTTATTCAACGACTCTCGCCGGCTACTTTTTGAGAAATATCTTCTTCTGGAAGACCCCATAGACTTTGATACATCATTAAGCATCGCCAAGACGTTCATCCTACTGGAGATCTACGAGCTGTGCAGTGGGGACAAACGAGCCTATGAGTTCATCGAGGTCTTCCATGCGAGTAAATTGAATGCAATTAGCTCTTGCATAAGCTCCTTGCCGCGCGATGCCCCCTTAGACCAGCGGCGTCAAGCAAGACTGCTTTTGGAAGCGGTTCGTATCCTCGACTGTTACAGGGTGCTGTTGCTACAGAGGCCACCGTCATTTATAGGAGAAACTCAACTCGATTTACACGTGGCTGGCAAAGCTCTTGGATTTCGGTCCCTTCCTACGGGTGGGCTGGTTTCTACTTCAAGTGACGGCTATATACTTGGCGTTCCAGCAACAGACATGGATCGTCTAGTGACTATTATATGCTACAGCTGGATGGCAAGCCCACAGAACACAGAAAACTCTTCACATCCTCCTCTATGGAGGCTAGAGTTCGTCGAGCTGGCGCTAAATCGATGGATTCAAGAAAAAGAAATCGAGACGGAATGCCCATCCCAACTCGAAGTATCTCAAATGCTGCTATATCACCTTACGCAAGTGTCACTTCATTCTAATCTAAATCATCTACAGCGTCTTACCCAAGTAGCCTTACAAGCCTCGAAACCTCTCCAAGAAGGAGGACCTCTGGACTCAATCAGGACATGGCGAGATAGTCACCACTTTAACGTAGCTCAGTGGCATGCCAAGACAACTCTTCGTATCGCACAGGAATCTATGACGACACCTCGCCGCCATACTTCATCTGAAAAAGATAAGCCCCGACTTTCTGAAGCTCCGCACTTGCCGCTATGTATTTACTTTGCGACACTGGTCGTATGGTGGGGAGAGCTGATATTGGATGGGCGAGGAACTGGCTCGGCTAATCCTCCTGCAATAGAGACCGGCTCGCAGCTGTTGTTCAGGTTGAAAGTTCCCGTGTCCAAAATTCTAGGAACTGCCCTCTGTGAACTCCTCCCTAGTGAAAGGTAGGGTGAACGGCGTCAGAGGAATATGTCCGAGTCGTTAAGATAGAAAGTCAGCTTGAAGATGCTTAAGGCGCCAAATACATACCATGGTGGGGAATAAAAATATGTCCCAAGAATTTTCGGAAGAGAGGTCACCACCATGTAAACATGCGCAGTTCCTTATTTGAAAAGGGTCTGTTCTTGAGAATAATTAAGGAGATATATCGATTCATTCCTGTCGTACCAGTCAATACTAGAATACCCTTCGGACCCAGAAATACCATCGATCATCTGAGGAGGTAGCTAGTTGTAAAAATATTGTTAATTTGAGCTACCGAGCCCATTAAACTGTTAAAGATTGGGAGTGTAGGAATTATAAGAAAGACTAAGTATTTACGGAAAAGCTCTCCTACTATTAAGATGTAGACGATAAATAATCCTAGACATCAGAATTAGCCGGATTTAACATGAATTGACGGAATTACTGAACCCTACCATACTCATTCCGATAGAATAGCGACGCTATACAGCCTCCAAGAAAATTGCCGAGTGGAGGCCCCTCTGTTATCTCAAGCCACGGCGTAAAGGACGGGAATTTGCTCTCGACACGATTATCTACCTCATTTGCAACTGCCAAGCTTCCCGGCGGCGATATCATCAGAGTAGATTTATTGAATATATACACGAACGTATGGTCAATCCTCTAAGGCCTGTCAGTGACATTGATCAAACCCGACAACCCTTAAAGATGTCGCAAACATATCGAGATCTCCGCAAGGAGGATCGGGCCTCGTTTGACTACATCTATGAGGAGAACGTCTCCGTACCTTTGAAGGGCGGCAAAGGCTTGGTCAGATGCAACGTCTACCGTCCCAAAGATGAGTCTGCAAAGTATCCTGTTTTAGTAACCTATGGTCCGTACGGCAAAGATGTCCATTACAGTGTGTAAGTGATGGGACTTTCCACACTGTATAAATATAGGTACTCACCGTCATAGATTTCATCCTGCCTCATTCTCTGAAGTGCCCGAAGAACATCACTCGGCGCACTCTTCGTGGGAGACTCCGGACCCGGGGTTCTGGACTAGGAACGGCTATGCTGTGGTTAGGGCAGACGAGCGCGGTACCGGTCAGTCCCCCGGTGTGCTCGATACCATGTCCCGCGGTACAAGCGAGGCATTCTTCGACGTTGTCGAGTGGGCAGCGTCTCAGCCGTGGTCATCCGGCAAAGTTGGCTTGCTCGGCGTGAGTTACTATGCGGGGAGCCAGTGGAGAGTGGCAGCCCGCCAACCTAAAGGACTTGCCTGCATCATCCCCTGGGAGGGCATGTCGGACTATTATCGCGACCGTTGCAGACATGGAGGTATTCTTTCCAATACCTTTATTAGATTTTGGTGGAACAGACAGGTTAGTAAATGTGCTAGGAAAGTGCTATTACCTGGGGAATATTGTTTTTAACCAGGCTTCTTAGGTTGTCACAAATCAGTATGGACGCCCTGGAAGAGCTGCTCGAAATTGGGGTTATGATACGATCGAAGGAGATTTATCCGAAGAGGAGCTACGTGCTAATCGTCGTGACCAAAATGAAGATAACGTGGCGCACCGCTTTCTAGACGAAGAATATTATGCCTCGAAAGACTACAACATGAATGACATTAAAGTGCCGGTCCTGTCGGTCGGAAACTGGGGAGGCATCTTGCTGCATCTACGCGGAAATGTAGAAGGTTACCTAAACGCTGGTTCTCAGCACAAGTATCTGAGACTTATCACCGGGCGCCATGACCTACCGTTCTACTCCAAGGAAAACGTCGAAATGCAAAAAAGCTTTTTAGATGCATTCCTGAAGGGACACGACACGGAAGGATGGTCAACGGGTGCTGCCCCTAAGGTTGGCCTAGTCCTACGGAAAGGGAACGTCGGGTATAATAACCCAGAGGCTGAAAAACAGTATCCCATTCGCTACGAGGAAGAGTGGCCTATCCCGAGGACGAAGTACACCAAGTATTTCCTCACCGCGGATAAGCAGCTGAGCGAAGCCATAGCTCTTTCATCTCCATCGCGTCCTGAGAGCTCTATCTCTTACCGAGCGCCAAGTACTCTAAAAGACCCTCAGACTGTCCAGTTCACAACGGCGCCTTTCGCCGAAGAGACCGAGTTTACAGGCCACGTAGTAGTCCACTTGAACGTGTCGGCGTCAAGTCTACCAGAGAAAAATACGAATCCCTCGGAAATCGACCTCTTCGTCACCCTGCGACACCTAGACACGCAGGGCAACGAAATCTTCTACACAGGCACGGCAGGCGACCCAGTGCCCGTGACCAAGGGCTGGCTACGGATAAGTCTCAGAAAAGTAGCCGACGGCCATCCTCGGCATCGGGCTTGGCACCCCCATCGGGAATATCGCTCGACGGACGTGCTGCCCGTGGAGAGCGGAGTAGTGTACGCGGTGGACGTGGAGGTGTGGCCGACCAACGTGGTCGTTAGTAAGGGCCATCGGTTGGTGCTGGAAGTCTCGTCGGGAGATACGCAGGGGGCGGGGTTGTTCGAGCATAATTCCGAGGAGGATCGGCCGCGAGATCGATTGGAGGGGCTCAACACTATCCATTTTGGTCCGGAGTACGACAATTGGATCCTGTTGCCCCTCATCCCCGCATTGTGAGAATGGTAGAGAGGTATGCTAGGTTAGGTAGGTACTTTATAGAGACAGATATGTAACCTAGAAAGTGCGTTTATGTGTTGGTATATTATGCCGATGTCGCCTCCATTTCAAGGAATTATATTAGGTAGGTACCTTTCATAGATCCTTGAATATTCATTGCTCGAGATAACTAGGTACCTACTATATTATATCTACTGCTATATAAGAGAAACCCATTTCACAGTCGCCAACTTTGTAAAGAGGGATAATACTATCTACCAAAGGAGTTTCTAAGGTCCTTCATTATGTCGTCAACATACCCCCCTAATAATCTTCGCGCACACTCGCGCTTCATCACCACACACGACGACTCTGGGAAAGCAGTATTCAGCGATGCCGTACCAGAACAGGCACCCGTTCGCCAGGTCCTAGGCGGGGACATGTCATTCAGCCTCATGTACACAACAGAAGGCTTCCCCGTGTCAATGGCTGATGGCAAAGACATAAAGACATATCAAAACTACTTGACCAACACGCCAGCCATCAGCATCCCAGGCGGAACGGCGTGTCGGACAGTAGACTTCCCACCCGACTACTCGTCGCCCATGCACCGTACGCCGTCTTGCGACTTCGGCGTCGTGTTAGAGGGCGAAGTCGAGCTGGTGCTGGACTCGGGCGAGACTAGGCTGTTGAAGAGAGGGGATGTGGCCGTGCAGCGCGGGACGAATCACGCGTGGCATAATACTAGTAAGGACAGTTGGGCTAGGATGCTGTATGTGCTGCAGTCGGCGGAGAAGGTAGTTGCGGGAGGGAAGACGTTGGAGGAGGACGACGGAGGAATTGACTAAGTTTTTGAGATTTGATCATTACTACCTACCATAGCGGAGGGGGGGGGTTACTCAGAACCATTCTAAAAATTCAAAACGTTCTGTATATTAGGACCACCCTGTAAGGAGCTTTCGTTCTTGACGTTAGAATCGTTCTAATGTTGGAACCGTTCTGTAAAACAGAACGTTCTTGGGTTTAAGGCCTCTGATTGGTCCAAATTTTGAGATAAGTGGGGCAGATTTTGAAAAAAATGAAAAAATGAAAAGACTGACTGGGCCTCGAACCCACAGCTCGCGCGTTTGTGTAACGTTATACCCACAGTGGGGTATAAGGTTTAAGGTTTAAACGTTTGAGCTAATGGGACAAGGTGGCCAGTCTCGTCGAATTACTAGGTAGATACCTAGGTAGGTACCTACCTACCTATATATATATATATCATAGAGGCGTTCGACTGAATGAATCATAAGCTATCATCCAAGAGAGAAACGAGTGAATATTCATAAGCCCAGGTTAAGCAATACACAATACCCGTTTATAAAACACATATCAACATCCGACGGTACGTATAAAGAGGCTAGAGCTTCTTCGAGGGATGGATTCTATGAACCTTTTAGTTCCGGGCTTAACAGATCTAAACTCCCATTTGCTTTCGAAGAAGCCTATTTTATTTGGAATTAACTACACTACGTTGAACAAAGTCTTCCAAGAAAATAAGGGGCGGGGTAAATTCCCGCGATGGGGTTCCCCTAATGCATCGTCGATCTTACCCCAGCCCCAACTAATTCCACAATGCCTTTTCAGGGGTCTGAGCCGATTCACTTCTATGTAGGTAGACGGTACAATTTGGAGAACCATACCTTTAGGTAAGCTATTTGTGATTTACCTATAATGTACAAAAAATGTTGAGCAAGCGCTATCAATGAAGCGACAGCACAGATTTCAACACCTGCTTCAACTTCGAAGGCGAGTCCTCTTCCCACTTCGGACTCCTCCAAGCCACAAAGTAGTCCGGCCTCACAAGCACACAGCCAGACTCCCCAACGCCCCTGATACCCGCCCAGTCGAGATACACGTCCTTGTAATCTTGTCCGTACCCAATGGAATAAGCCTTGATAGGTACCCCGAGCTCGGAAGAGAGCTGCTCTGCCACCTTCTTCCAATGCTGACCGCCGATGCCCGTAAACAGCGTAAATTGCCCCTTTCCGGCTAAGTCGATGGTGGAGATGTACTTGGACGGCGTGTGGTTTCCCAGCCACGCGTGCGGTAGACGCGCCCCGGGATACGTGGTGGGATGGTAGTGCTCTAGCGGATTTCTGGCGAAAGCCGGCGCTGCGCCTTGATCCGCTTGGTACACTGCCGACGAGACGTAGCGCTGGTTCATCTCGACGCCGAGACCGTGTTCCTCCTTGTCATTTGCCCGGAATGATTTAGCCAGCCTTTCCCGACGAGCACTTCCTTCTGGTGAGTCCGCATAGATCTCGTCGTGGGCCTTCACGCGAGCTTCTACGGTCGGCTCTATGTTGCCGAGGGCTTCCCAGATATTCCTGTGGTTCCTTAGAGCATCATTTGCCCTATTAATACGTCGTTAGTATGTGTAGTCTTCACTAGTCCTGGCCGTAATCCTGATGCATGATGAACTTACTGGGTAACTACATCCAGTCCAACTGGTTGACGCTCTATGCTGTAAGTCT